AAGCAGACTTTGGTGACTAAAGAGGAGCAGCAGCGAGAGGGGAGGAAATGCTGCGAGAAGCAGACTTTGGTGACTAAAGAGGAGCAGCAGCGAGAGGGGAGGAAACGCTGCGAGAAGCAGACTTTGGTGACTAAAGAGGAGCAGCAGCGAGAGGGGAGGAAATGCTGCGAGAAGCAGACTTTGGTGACTAAAGAGGAGCAGCAGCGAGAGGGGAGGAAACGCTGCGAGAAGCAGACTTTGGAAAGAAAGGAGTTGCATTAGCGAAAGCAGGGTGCTGCACAACAAGCAATACGGTGGGGTTGCAGCCGGATCGCCAGACACAGAGGCAAGCAAAGAATCACAAGGCCCTAAGACTCTGCTGTCGCAAACTGCCGCAGTACAGAGGAATTTGATGATGGGCTTACCGCACACCCGATATCAGCTGCTTGTGGAAGTGCTGTCGATGCTGCGGCTCCGGCAGAGGACATTGAGGTGCCCGTATATCCCATGTACGGACTCGTTTGTCTCCGGCTGCATGCATGCAAGCCCCAAATCTCAGCCGCAACTGCAGCACCTTTTTTTGCAGTCTCAGGAGGGCTCTGACTTCATGCGGCACCTACGCTTGTTGGCGAATTCGGCAGCAGCTTTACAGCCGAGAGGGGCAGTAGCGGGAGGAAGGAGACATACTCCGGATAATGTAGGGGAGGATTGGTGCGCTTGCCGCTGCGTGCAAGGACGTAATCCAATCGCCGTGTGTGAGAGCGACAGCAGGTCGATGAGGCTGCCGAGGATCGAAGCCTAGAGCCATGCGGTCCTGCAAAGGGACAGGAGCAGCAGGGGAGGAGAGCGAGACAACCAAGGAGGCGCATAGAGGGGACCACAAGAAGAAGGATAAACGGCGAAAAAGACGCCGCACGGAAGAGCAGAAAGCCACACACAGGCCCTCAGAGATACACGAAAGGAAAGAGGCGACACATCTCAAGGAAAAGGCTCAATAGGAACGACAGCCAGCTGACGCCCGAGGGAGAAGGCTGGCGGCACAATGCCTTGCTGGAGGCCTTTTCAAGTGTTTGAAGCAAAAGTCGCTTTTAGAGACAGAGAAAAAGACATAAAGAGCGAAGGAACCGAGAAAGCAAACGGATGGAGTCAGCGAGAGCGAGGAAGAGGGAGAGAGAGATAGATTGAGAGACAGATATATAGATAGAGAGAAACAGATATATATATCTATATATATAAATCTATATATATACGTAATATATATATACATATATATATATATATATATATATATATATATATATAGAGAGAGAGAGAGAGAGAGAGAGAGAGAGAGAGAGAGAGAGAGAGAGAGAGAGACAGACATACATACAGACATACAGACAGACAGACAGACAGAGACATATATCTATAGAGAGAGAGACAGAGAGACAAACACACAAACAAACACAGAGAGAGACACACACACACAGATAAAGACTGAGACACACACAGAAAAAGGCAGAAAAGGACAAAGGGGGCGATAAAGATAGGAAGAGAACAAACAGAAACACCTCAGAAGCGGTATGAAGGAGAGTCCGCAAGTCTTTTTTTCCCGAAGAAGCGCAGTGTACGAGAGAGTCACGCACATAAATCCATACCCATAGCAACTTGGAAGCGAAGCAGAACCGAACAAAGAAGAAGGTGTTTCGTGACAGGGCAATCGGTTGATATAAGCCGGCGGCAACTCGCAAGAAAAGTTTACGACGACGGGCAGACCGCGTGGAAGAAAAAAGAAGCAGAGAGGGCTAGAGACAAATATATTGAGTGGAAGTGAAGGGGAATGCAAAAGGACAGCAAGCGAATGCCGTTAGAGCAGCAAGACACCTTGGCTCCTGAGAAGAAGAGGCCTGAGGCAACGTGGTAAGCGACGCATAAGATACCGCCTGCATGCTCGCCTAAGGAAGCGAGCGGCTGCACACCGCCTTCTGCCACAGAATGCAGGAGTAATTCTCCGCTGCTGCATCCCGCACACATCAGCAAGCTGTTGCCGCTGAGGCTGCTGCTGCTGTTGACACAGAGTGCGTGTATTCCCCCCGAACGGGTTGCACAGGCCGACACCATTCGCTGCTGCTGTAAGCTCCACAGCCGAACCTGCTCACGCAAACACATCCTAGAAGCACCAGCAATGCAGGCAACAACCTCCTGCACCACAAGACGGTAATCAAAGGCGATAAGGCCGGAGAGCTATAAGTAGGCAGCAAGGGCTGTATGGTTAAACGGCACAACAACAACAGACAATTCCATCTCCATGTCCAGAGAAGAGGCATTCATCCTCCTGTTTCTGCTGCTCTTCCTGCACTCCCTGCTCTCCTGTGTGCGCAAGAGAGAGAGCTGCTGCCAGCCTCTGCTGCTGCTGTTGGCGTGGTGATTCTAGGGCAGCAAGCTCTTTCCCTGTGTCGGTGCATGCAATTCCAACGATCCCTGCTGAAGTGGTGTACGCCACCCGCTTGCCGCCGTTCAGCAGAAGCACGTCCGTAACAGACACCTGAGGGGCGGGCAGCAGAAACGGATCCTTCCTTGTTGCTGCTTTTTTGTTGCTTCTAAAAGAAGGTGACACGGGGAAGGAGGATGTGTCTAAGGGAGTGAGAGCCATCTCTGCTGCGCTTGCATGCGGCCATAGCATGCAGCTCTACTACAGCCCTCTCGCACTAGCAGCAGCAGCAGAGAAAGTGGCAGCGGCCTAAGCCACTACCAACCAGCACCGCCACATGCAGCCAGAAGCCTACACATTCCGAATGGCTCGTACCCCTTCATCGCCAACTCTGAGTGTGAGCTCTCTCTCAAAAAGGCCACGCGAAAAATTCCACTCAAGGCGGTCTTTCGTCTCGTACAGCACGAACCAAGACACGCTTTGTGGTGCAGCTGTGACACCTGTTGCTACCGAGTTGCTGCAGCTGCTGCAGCTGCTGCTGCTTGATGTCTGATCCACGGAGGATTCAAAGCTGCGATCGCCTGCGCTGCTGCAGCCAGAGTCTACTGGAAGTCCATAGAATCGCCGCACCGCCCAATTCTGCGAGACAGACAGACAGGCAGGCACCCACATGCATACAAACACGCACATGCATGCAAACAGACACATGTACATACACATGCACGTATACACCCATGCACACACAAATGTACATACACACACATGCGTACGAACACACACATGTACATACACATGTACATGCACATGTACATACACACACCCATGTACACACACATGCACATACAAACACACACATGTACACACATGCACATACAAACACACACATGTACATGTACACACATGTACATACACATGCAGTTTCACATTCAGACGCCGTACAAATAGGCCCTCAAGGCCTGAAAGATCTCCGCAGAGGCATGTCGAACATTAGCGCCATTGATTGGTCATACCAATTTGGGCAGGAAGCGCGTAGTAAAAAAGTGACGCCATAGAAAGTCTTCTGTAAGGGCACGGCGGAACCGACGGCAAACCTGCAAAGCGCAAGGGCACAGACACTTGGCCCATTTGCAGAGGAGCACTTCAGCATGGAGTATTACAAGAAGTGGTTGGCGCCTCTGCATCTTGAGAATGCTGCTGCAGCCAAGGTTGCAGTGGTTTCTGCACTTGGACCCTCGATTCTGCCGTGGCTAGTGCTACGACGACGAGAGCCCTTGCTGCTGCAGGTGTCGCAGGAGCTGTACGTACAGCAGAGGCTTTCAAAAGTCCATCATTTGGAGAGCCGAGGAAACAAAACACCAGAAGCAGCAGGTGGTTCGGCAAATTCAACAGGTTATTGGACTGAGTTGCCTGTGACACCATGACGCGTCCACGTCCTTCTTCCCCGTGTATGGCGCCTGCAGAGGGTGAAAGCGTCTGCAGGCGGCAGCAGGTGTCGCTACTCTGGCTCTCTGTCCTCCAGGAATGTTTTACGACATTCGTGCAGCAGGGGGTGCTGCTACGGGTGCCTTGGCTGGTGTAGGTCGTTGTGACCCCTGCTGCGGCAGCTGCTGGAAGGGCAGCCGCAGCAGCGGCAGTATCAGGAGCAAAAAGACACGGGGAGGCAAGGGCAGAAGACGCAGAAGTCGGGCTGTTTGGTGGGAAGTGCTGGTGATGCACGATACCAAGCGAAGACTCGCGCTTGGGGGACTCGTCTTGCGCCTGTTGCTCGTAATGAGGCTGTCGCTTGTCTTGCAGAAACGCGTGTTGCTGATGCTCCTCGTCCTGTTTCTGCTGTTGATGGGTTTGTTGGTAGGACTGAGGGTGCATTGTAAACGAGCCGAGAGACACAGGAGATGCCTATGCCGCTATACCCCTGCGGCCGCTGCTGCAGCGACTGCCAAAGGAGAAAGCGCCCGCAGACTGCTATACGAATATATATTTTTAAAAAATGACAAGCATGGAGGCTTTATGATTGGTTTTTGCGGCTGTCCTTGGCTCTGCTGTTACGGAAGTCTCGCGATTTAGGCAGGCTGCCGCACGGCCGTGCGAAAGCACCAGCAGCACCGGCGGCAGCATCAATAGTCCAGTTTAAACCAGTCCCTTAGAAATAAACGCAATCCGGGTCGGACTGCGTTTATTAGTGCATTCTGGCTAATTCTTAAAAATGCTGGCGCCCTCCCGCAGCAGCTGTAAGTGCTACCGCTACTCTTCATGCGCAGCTGCCTGCTGCGGGAGATCCGATCGCTCGTTCCCATAATAAGGGTGCAATGGGCGCTACAGCCACAGAAATCACCCCTGCAGTAGGAATAAGATTATTAGAAACAACGGTTTTACACCAATTACTTGGGATTCTCAATGCAAGGGTCCCCAAGTTGTCTTTACTTCAACAAGTGCCGAGAAAAGCGTTCGCAACCCCCTCATCCTGTCCTATGTAACGCTCCGGCTCACGACCATCGTGCCGTAGACAGGAACCTCGTCTGTGAGCTAAACCCTGAATCCTCATTTCCTCAGCTTGAATTCTGGTCTATGCAAGGGCTTGAATGCTCCAAAGAGGCATGAACGCGCTTACTTCGCGCCATGTCTTTGCCGCAGCCTCCCTACCGGTGGTCCGTCAGGAGGCAGACACTGGATTCTGCTTCTCTTTGCCATTCGTGTCTTGAAAAACTCTCAACATTTCATTCCGTAGCCATTTGCGAGGAGAAGCTTCATTCGGTTTTCATAAAGAGGTGCTTTTCTTCCCTGCAATGCGCGGAGCCTCCTGTTGACCTCGGATCTGCGGAGTAGTTATGCAGCTAGCTGTACCGGAGGATACGTAGTATGGTTACATGCTCATTTAGTAAGCCTGCAAGGATGCTGCTCATGTTTTCTCATTGCGGAGAGCTGTAGCCAGGTAGGCGTACCGCCGAAACCATACAGAGGGCTCCTGCAATACTCGAGCCATAGCGAACTGGTTTCAAGCAACGCCAGCGTCTACAAGAAGGCATAACAGACTACGCCCTGGGGCCAGTACAGCACTCAGTACATCTGAGCAAGCTTCTATAGGTCGAGCCTCCCGCAAGGTTTTCCTGTGACGGCTTGCGTGTACTTAAAGGGGTGCCTAAGCCGACAGTCTTTAGCTCGTGCAAGGCCACCTAATCTTTTGCGGTCATGAGAACAGTCCAATGTCAATATATGGGCTACTGTATACAGACACTCTAGAAAGATTTCGTAGCTGCGATACACGGTTCCATTACCCCCAGTGCAGCTCGGAAAAATGAAAGCTAGCGCGTCACACACTGTGGCTGTTACTGCCACCATGGGCCGTGTAGGCCCCCTCACGGGGCAGTGCGCGCTGTCACAAAGGTCAATTACACTGTGCTTTTCCTGGTAGTGTTGTTGTTAGTGCTCATGCTGAACGTCGCGCTGGGCAGCCGGGTGGCGGACTGTCTAGCGAACTGCCTCTTTGACAACTTCCCAGAGAGGCACACGGGGGGAGTGGCTTGACGACCCGACATCAAGACTGCGTGAGTCGGGATTGCCCCCTTTAAATATGATTCTCGTAGCTCCTGGCTGGCAATAACCACACCGCGCACCTGCTAAACTCCGAACTGGCTGTTTAATTCGTCGTCTAGGCGGTAGTTTGGCTGGCCAGCTAGCCATCTAGCCAGCCATACAAACGAATGCATATTGGGTGGACTGGGTCGCTGCGTGTCTAGCTGGGTGTGAGGCTTTAGCTAGTTCGTCCAGAGGTAAGCGACGATGCTGCAAGCCGCGGCAATGGCCAGGAAGCCCCCGGCAAATCCGAAGAGCGTCTGTAGGGAAAAGGATTGGGAGGTGCTGGTGGAGCTGGAGGTGCCATTATTAGTCTGTAGGCCTGCTCCACAAACCCCAGAGCCGCATTCTGAAATCTTTAATTCAAGGCGCTCACGAACCCAGTCAGACAGCAGCAAGAGAAGGCGGGAAAAGCTGGTTTCTTGGGCCTCAAGACACAGGCGCAAAAGCTGGATTACGCCAGCTCGGCTCTGCATCCCAAGAGAGCAGCTCACTCTTGCATGACTCGAGAGCCGCTCCCGCCCCTATGCAAGTCTCGATTCCCACACCTGTGTCAACACAGCCACATCAAACTCTAGAAGGCTGCATGTCTTTGCTAACTAAGCTGTGAGGCACTTTGTATCGCGTAGCAGCCTCTAAAGTCTTTGGTCCGTATGCGGATAGCGTGGTCTGCTTTTAGAAAAAAAACTGCTCAGCTTCATGCTACGGGCTCTGACTGTACTCGGGATCGAGCAAGATCCGCCATTCTTAGCCTCATATACAACGCTCCGTTCGCGTGTGCGGCTTCCAAGACAACTGCACCGAACCAAAGCACACCCGAGAAAGACAAAAATGTGTTTCCGTGCGGCGTCTTCTTGAGTGCGACCCGCTGGCGCTCAGCTTTGGCAGGGAAGGCAGAGAGCGGCAGACGTGAGAGGACTGGAAGCGCGTCGGCTTATGTCAAGCGGATGCTCAATGATGACGGAAAGGGACGGCCTACGCCAAAACGCACTTCCCGTTACACAACCCCCAAGACGCCCAGATGCTGGGAACACAAGGAGTTCCGATGGCTCCCACGAAAATGTCTCCGCCACCAATGCCGCGCACAATGGAGAGTCCGTCTGTCAGCTCCACAACCTTGCCTGCGAACATTCAAAAGCGTGGGTCTTCAAACCTCACCCCTCCAAGAAGGCTCCCCCTGCGGGTTCAAGGGACGGACGTTTCGAGCGTTCAGAGCCTTCCAAGCCTTCAAACGCAGCTTTTGGAGAGGCTCTTGCTTCCTCTGGGATGTTGTTAGGCCTACCCCCGGTTAGAGACGCCTTGTCAACTCCCGAGTACATCGTGGGCCCCGCATGGCCGTAGACAAGGACCTCCCCGGAGAGGTAGATGAGCACGAACGCACGGTTGAGCTCAGCTATCGAGGCTACGGGACCTGCAGACATATATCCAGGGTGTATCCGCCAGCTTCCAACGCGTAGGCGACAAGGCGAACGCGCCGTGCAGCGAGCGAGATGGCAGTCGACAGAGGCAGTGGCACCTCAAGAGGAAGAGGCAGGGGCCGAAGGCAGGCGTAGGAGAAAAGAAGCGGCGGCTAACCACAGTGAACCGGAGAACGTGCACCAGATCACACAAAGCTGTGCAGAGCCGGCAGCAGCAGAATGCGAGGTTTTTCACGGGGTACCAAAAAAATGGCCAAAGGAGATAGAATGCAGTAGACAGAAAAGTGTAGCGGCCACGGCACCTACGAACGCATGAATGGGTAATATACATCGTGCAGTCGAGACAAGGGGAACGCCAGCCACGGGCGGCGCTTTTCCCTTGACTGCGCTGCAGTGCCCGCTAGAAAAAGCCTCAAGCCTCCGAAGCCGGACGGCGGGCCTAAAGCAATATAAACGGTGTCCCCTAGAGGAGGAGGCATCGGAGCTGACGTTCGTGTGTGAGTTCAGCGGGAAAATCGCCGCCTCCTGAAGCGGAATCTCCCCAAACTTCGACCATATTGTCTGTGTTGACGACAAGAAAAGCCCCTGAGGTGGCGTGCAGACCTGCAAATAGCCCCAACTCCACAGATAAGCAGCGCGCCTCTTTCTCTCTCTCTCTCTCTCTTTCACGAGCGCGCCACAGGTGATTATCCCCAGCACGCAACTGCGAGGGTGCTTAAAGCCGGCACAGCTCTCCGAGTCAGACCCCGCGGCGCAAGCAGCCTCCGCCTCTAAGAAACGGCCAGGTGATAGTCCTTACTTTTGACGCCGTTTCTGACAGCAGAAGCAATACCTTTAGGCAGGGTCGCCCCTGCTTCGAGGTCTCCCCAAGCCACCAGCTCCCACAGGCCTGGGGAATCCTCAGTCTCTCCGCGCTGCCTCGCCGCCACAGCCGCTCTCTCATTGAAACGAACCACTGCAGGAAAAACGCGCAACCGCCTTGCGACGGAGCCAGCCTCTTTAGAGCCCGCTGCTCCACGCGACATGCACCGAGAAGTCCTCTGCAGAGAGGGCTGTCATGCGCAAAGCGCGTTTGGCGCCGCCCGAACTCGGCACCAGTCTCTCTCGAGCTTTACAGCGTAGAGTCTGTCTGATACACGGGGGGAAGGGGTTAGTGCAGCAATCACACTTTTGACACCCGTTGTCAGCTGCGGCTTCACCGCCTTGAAGGACACGCTGTTCGAGCCGGAAAAGCCCTCGGTGCAAACAGGAAGTGTACTAGCGCTAGATCCCCACACCGCCAGCTCGCCTGCAACAACCCCAAGCGCCACTCCGCCAAAGGCCAACATAGACAGTTCAGCGCAAACAGCTTTTAAGAGCACCACGCTCTTGGTACAACTCCATGAAGGCATGCCTCAGAACCCAGCCCCCCACAAAGCCCCAAACTTCGTGGCGTGCCTGTGCTGGAAATGGCTGCAAAACAGCTCCTCTCAGCCCAAATCGACTCCGCCTTGAAAAGCACACATACACAGATACACATACATACACATACATTCACATACACAGATACACATACATACACATACATATACATACACAGATACACATACATACACAGATACACAGATACACATACATATACATACACATACATTCACATACACAGATACACATACATATACATACACATATATACATCCATACACATACATTCACACACATACCTAAACATACACACATCATCATACATACATACATCATCATACACACACATACATACCTAAACATCCATACACATCCATACACATACACACGCCAAACGCATGGCACTGAATTTTCCCTACACACACCATAAAAGCCCCAACTTTAGGACAAACACCGCCTTCGCTTTCTCACTGTCCATTTTGTGATTCTGCAAGAAACAACACGCTTTTGCACCACACTGACCTCGTAAGGTCAGTCACAGGCCCTCAATTCCAAAGCCGTTGCTGGAGGCTCTACCGCATACGCTTACCTTGAATCCCTCGCTGCCAACGCGTGAGGGGATGGACAGGTTCTTGCCCCAAGTATACAAATCCCCTGCACCTGTCATCGCGGCAAACCCCACGTCTGCCGCAACCTGAGGGCAGGCCGGCAAGTACAGAAGCTCTGAGCCTCCAGCATGGGAAAAAGGCCAGTAAGGCGTTCGGCGCATGCTCGATGCTGCTAGCTGCTGCAGCTCCCGCATCCCATACCGCAGAGGCCTTGGAACGGGGTATTCAGTGCCAAACATTACGTCTGCCTCTCCACCATTCCGCAAACTAAGGCGTAATCGCCTGGGGAGCTCGGTGGGACGTACAATTGACATGATGTCGGTGGGCTTGGGACTGGGCAGCTGACCGCCTGTTTTGCACAGCAAAGCATGTGTTTACACGGACATACACAACACGCACATGCATATACACATACTCACACACACAGACACACACAGACACACACAGACACACAGACACACAGACACACACAAACACACCACATATGCACATACCCATACGTGCATGCATGCATACATACACACACACAGATACATGTACAGACAAAGACGCAACCTGTACCGTAGTCTGTAGCGCTTCTTGCATTCCCACCCATTCCCCTTTTCACCCCTAGAATTTCACGTGCCGTGCGGCATGCAACACACGGTACACACGCCGTCGGCGCCTCCAAGAGTGTGGCTGCGTTGATGCATCCGGATGCTGCATCCATCTAGGCGACGTCTCCCACTCTTCAGTACAACGCAACTCGAATCCTCAATCAACCCCGACCCGATCCGTGCAGCCACGCTCGCCCTAAAGAAGATTTTCAGGTTCAGAATTATGGTGGTGCTTTTACCAACGGTAGTGTCTCCCCAGGAGTACATTGATCCGTTTTGGAGGAGAACGGTAAAGGCCCCCGTGGTTGCCAAAATTTTCTTCACGCGCTGTCTGCGGGTGACGTCGAAATGGCTTAGGCCGTTCTGAAGAACACACATGCAGTCCGACGCCTCGAGTGCTGAGGCTTATTGATGCCTGAGAGCCAGAAAAGCCCTCCACTCAGAAAGAAAGCGCACGAGCCGCTCGTTGCCACGCTGTCGCAACAGCGCCTCGAGACGTACAGGCCATGCAGTTAACGCTGCTTAGAAAGAAACTCCTAAGGTGTGCGGGCACGCGCGCGCTCCTACGCTTCAGCAGGAAAGCTTCCCGCCACGGAAAAGGCCAAACAGCAAACTCCCACCTCAGCTTCGTCCGTCATTTTGCCCCCTTGGAGGGGGTCTCCGAAGGCAAGAACCGTTCCATCGGAGAAGAGCAGCGCAAATGCCGTCCCTTTCGGATGACACGAGATGCCTGCGCATACTGCCGAGCCTTACGCCTTCGCTTCTAGACACACAAAGCCGTAACGCACCCTGTGCTTAGCCCCAAAACTAAAGACGGCGGGTGAACCCTCTTGAGATCGAGCATATGAAAGCCTAAGACTTGAGGCTGTGGGATTTGTGGAGGCCTCGCCATGCGATTTCAAGGCTTTCTGGCGAATATCGTGCCGTAAGGATTTGACGCACAAACGCACCTTCTATCATCACTGCAGCAGGCCTGTCTTTTTCCAGTTGGCTATTGAGCTCAGTCAACCCCTCGCATGCGCTTGAGTCCTTGTTGCTGCAGTATACGGCAGCTTTGTACTGCGTGTTCCTCGACTGCGCCAGAAAACCAAGCCTCCATCCGCAGACGTCTACCTTCCTCCCCCCCTTCCCCTCGATCTTTCCACCGCGTGCGCTGCTTGCCCTGCACTGCACCCTCAGCCCAAGGTTGATGGCGACACGCCTCGCAAAGGACAGTACGTCAAAGTCTGCACGGTGTGGCTAAGCTCTGATGCTCAGGGTTCAGACTTCGTCCCTACGGTAAAGCCAGTCGTATAGGCAAAGGCATCGAGGCCACCGCATGCAACGTCCACGCCCTGGGAGACAGCAGTCAATCGACATTTCTCATGGCTGTGCGTCAGCCAGCTGGAAAAGAAGCTCATCTGGCGAGTACTGGCTGTGCGTAAGCTGGCTGTGGCGGCTAATGCTGAGAACTCTAAGCAACTCTATGGGGAAGCACATATTGCAGCCATATTCGGCATTCCAAGAAAGCCCTCCGGCTGAAACGCGAGCAGCAGAACCAGCCTTGAGCGCATCGCTATATGTCGACTGCACATGACCCAGGATCACAGCGGCTTTTACAGAGCGCCCTACCCTAGTGACGTTGGTACCGTCTGTCTCCCTCCAGGTACCCGTCTTCGCTTTGCCAGCATTTAAAAGAGTAGAAGGATTTTCGCTTTTCTGGGGAGTAATCAAGATCGCGACAGATCCCTCTGCAGCAGTTTCAAGCGCAAAGCAGCAAAGTTCTCTTGTACCGATGTGCTGCGGTTGCAGCTCGTGCTGGCTCTTCCTTTCGTGACTGCAAGAGGAGGCAGAGTCAAACCTCACTGGAAGTGAACCAGGCGTTGCTGATGTAGCTATTGTTAGATATCGACATAAAAGTCTTCATCGCGCTGCTGGAAAACGCCTGGCCATCTTTCGACAGCGCTGCCCTACACAAGCAACAAGAGGAACAGAGTCGCCCCAGTCACAGCCGCTGGATGCATCCAACCGAAGCAGCAAAGGTCGGGATTTTTAGAGGCGTGTTGCGTAAAGTTCAGCGAGGAGAGGGGACCCCTCCAACGTCAATACCATTTACAGCATCACCAGCAGCCGCTCTGGGAGCAGCAGACGACGCCTCAGCGCGCGCGGCAGGCAGGAACCGAATGGAAGGCAAACCGCCGTACTGCAGTGTGGAATCCACTGAATCAACGTGCAGCTTGAAGTTTTCAGAGAGGAGGACTCGTGTGGTGTAGTAGCTTTCTGGCCCTCCACTGGCGGCTAATCTGGTGTCGGCGGGAGCTGCATTTGTTTCTGAGGCAGAGGAGACACAGAAAGCAGGAAGGCTGCCTTTTACGGAATTTGAAAGCAGTCAAAATTTGACGAGGGGAGCCGAGGGGGGTGGGTACGCGAGAAAGGAAGGCTCCCTAGTCTATATATAGATTTATACACATGTATGCATGTGTATATACATATAAATATATATATGTATATGTATACGGAAGCGACTTGGGGGAATGTTAGAGGCACCGAGAAAAATTCGGCGGTGTCGCGGGAGCAGCCACCTACCAAGCATTGAATCCCATGTGATGTCGGAGTAGGCAGTAAGCACTCCTGCAGCAGTACTTCCTAGCAATTGCCCTTCAGTCCCAGTCAGCTCGTAGCCTGCAGAAGCACCACATGCCCAAAACTCCGAGTTCTAGCCATTCACTTCTAAGAATGCAGACGCTTGGTGGCAGTTGCGGCTGCCAGTCAATGGCTCTAACTTTTCCTGGAGAGACTTTAGGGCGAACCAAGTGCCCTCCAACGCGTAATAAAGGAGGGGGCAGGCAGGAAGACTAACGGACTGACTCCTCTCCTCTTGTCCCCTCCCGAAACACCCGAAGTGCAAACAGACGCATGGCGCCAGAGAAAAGCACAGGCAGGCAAAATTGAAGGCACAAAGGCGGCAGCAAGCACCCTTACTGGGATTGGTAGCAGCTGAAGAGGTCTAGCACAGAGAGAGACAGAGAAGAAGACGAGAAGCAGAGAGGCCTTGGACGCGTGGTATCTTACATTCGTATTCCCCCTTAAGAACACGCATGGGATTGGAGCTTGTTGGACAAACGTATCCGCACTGTACAGACACCGCAGGCAGCACACGCGAAGCAGCCTAGAACCAGTGCTCCTTCCGCCCTCGCAGAGTCGAATGCACGTTGATTGACTCGGCAGCCTCCGTTCGTCTTCCCCTTCAGTCCGGCTACAATTCTCAGGCCGTCGAAAGCAGCGAAATCGCACTCCGGTACAAGTATTATTACGCAGAAGCAACAACCACCTGCCCACGAGGCACCACCACGCGCTTGCACAGAGGAAACACAACCTCAAGAAGATGATGGCCAGCTGCAATGCTCGAAAAAAGCGGGTGTGGCAATGAAGATGCACATGAGCAGAGAAAGCTAGGCATTTGCAAGGGCTAGAAAGCCACTGCAACCCCTAAGGAGTGAGGCCAGAGGCCTTTGGAAATGGTTGGCATTGGTACGGAGAGATATACACTGACCATTGTAGAGAGATGGCCAGCTAGACACCCAGCGCATTAGCGGGAGGGATGTGGATCAAGAAGCAGACACAAAAGCACAAAAAGAGGGCAACAAATCGGCACCAAGAAACAGGAGGAGGGAGAGGTCCTTTTTCGCGGACTGACTCGAACATAGGCGGCTCCAGAGGAATCCCCCGAAACTTCAGATTCGCTAACAGGGAGAAACCTGCAGGTGTGCTTATCGTTGCCTGGTACATACACACAGCCAAACGCAAGACTAAGCTCTTGGCCACCAGACACCCGAAAGCATGCAATACACAGAGGAGCCAAGAGCGTCTTCTGGATAGACATGTTGTGCGCATGCGTAACTGCAGCTCTGCGACAGCCCCAGCAAACGCTTCTGCGGGAGTGCGTATTGCCTCAATGATTTTTTGAGGGGGAAGAGGGGGGATCGGGAGGACTGGGAGGAATGGGAGGATTGGGAGTCTAAGGATGTTATCACGTGAGTTTCAGTAAAGATATAGCGAAGAAAGGCTTCGTACAGGCGGACGCGAGGGCAGACTTGCAACTCCATACAGAAGAGCAGGCAGTGTGTGCAGACTTCCATTCGGCAGATTTAATGCGAATAAAGTCCTTTTCGCACTTCAGGCCGCCTTCTGAGTTTTCGAATACGCTAAAGGCTGTAGAAACACGCAACGAGACCAGCGCGGCAAAGCGTGCCCGCAACAGCTCTAGAATATCCAGAAGCAGCAATGCCGAAATAAAACGGCCGCGCATGCAGCACAAATACATATCGACGGAAGAGAAGGCTGCTGAACGAATGAATCGAAATGATGCAGTGCCTATCAGCAGCTCAGATTTGCAAGCTGCCTTCGAAGCGCGTATGGGTTTACGTTGAAGGGTTTGGCACTGCAAGGCTGCTCTCTGGAAAGCGAGCAGATTGAGGCACGCGCGTGTTCAGTACCGCGGCAGGAGTTTGTGTAGCAAAAGTTGTGCTTCATCTGTTGTTTTCAGCTTGTCATGCCTTTGGAAAGCTCTAAGCGCCACACCCTGAAATTCTCAGCAGCTTACAGAGAGTGCGGAGTACTTTGGCATCGTCGCTTGTTGCCAGCTGCACTGCAGAAGAATACCCCTCGTCCCCTGCATACACCCCCAGGGGTTCTAAGTCGCTGTCATAGCGACTACTGTGACTACTACTCCCACTGTCGCTGCTGGGAAAGGTGCTCTCCCCAAGGTGTTTATCCACATATTGGACGCGCTTTCGACTCTCAAGGGGCGCTAGTGCAGCAGTAGTTCTAGCCAGCGTGAGCCAAGCGACAAGCCAGGTGTTGAGTGTCATCTTTGGCGAAGGCCTATTGTTGACAGTCGCTGAAAGCCATTGATACCACACGTCAAAGAAGAGCTGCTGCCGCAGCGCAGCCGCGGCAGGAGATTTTTCAATGACTGATACAGCTGGCACCCGAGACAGAGAACGCCTTTGATTCACTGCCGTTATGGCTGCTGTCCCTGTCCAAGATGAAGAGCCTAAGCAGCGCGCTCCAACTCAAACGAGAAGTTTGAACGCTCAGGGTTCGATCCTCAAATTGTAGTCCTGTGCGAAATCCGCTTGGACCAGTCGGCGGTGCCGCTCGCCGTTGCAACTTCTAGAGTATGCTTTCCTTCTGCTTATGCGAATTCAAAAAGCGATGCTGCTGCTGCTCGTGACGATAATGATGATCTGGCTCCGCGCCCGTGAATCATCGTCATCGGATCGGGAGCCGTTGAGGAGGTACCTGAACTGCCAGTGCCAGTGGGTGTAACGCGCTGTCGCACCAGACCAATGACAAGAAAATAAAAAATTTCACACGATTAGGGCAGAATACAGAAATATTCCATAAAAAAGCGGGAATGGCGGGCGCGTCTGTTGGTGGTTGGGGTGCTGTGCAAGGACGTGTATTCATAGCCTGTCAATCGATGGCCAAAGATGAGCTACAAGAACAGCAGCAGCTTCCGAAGTTGTCGCTACAATGGAAAGTACACGAATTTCGTGTCTTAAGAACCAAGTAGCGTAGCTGTGTGATCTAACTCTTTGTATGATTATTTCCGATCATTTGCCGCTTTTCTGTGTGGCTTGCTGCTAACAGCTGCTGCTGCTCCCGCTGCTGGGCAGTGTAAGCAGCAAGCTGATCGCAGCGGCACCAACGGCGAAGGCAGAAATGGCAGCCCCGAGAGTTCCATTAGAATCGATTCCGTAATTTATTGGACTTTTAGCGCTTTCAAAGGCGCTGCATTCATAAATATTTATCCGTATGAGCAGACCAGCGCATGCACCAGCAGCAGCTGGAGCAGCAGCAGTCGCGCGCTGCCACTGCGCAACAGTAGGCTGCTGCTGTGGGGAGCAAAAGCCCCTGGCGTCAGCGGCTGCTCCAGCAGGAACGCGCTCCCAATGATCGCCTTCCTAAAAGGCTCCCCTGAGTAGCAGAACTAAATTATATTCGCCTTTTGCCCCCCTAAGCTGTCGCTACACGGGAACTTCCGGGGTGTCTGAAGAGCAGGCAAAATGGTAGGGGGCCCGTGGAGTTCTTCCCTGTCCTCTCTCTCGCTCTCTCTCTCTTTCTCTGTTTGTTTGCGTTTCGCTCTACCTTTTGTCTGCACTTCATTCGCATCGAGTTTCTGAACTTTCGTTCTGCCTGCCTGCTGGTTCGACGCGCTGCTGGTGGTGCTCCTGTCGCTGCCGTCGTGCTAGGGGCCGGCACGAGCCGCCCGCCCGCGGTGGGATCCTTCCCCCCACGCTGCATGCAGCAAAATGTATTCTCTGGAGGGCTGTTTGTCGCCACTGCCGCAGCAACCGCCATGCATGCGCTTAGGGAGTACGGGGAGGGGAAGGGGAGTGTGACGTTATTGCCAAGCTAGTCTTGTACGGGGAGGGGAAGGGGAGTGTTGACGTTATTGCCAAGCTAGTCGTTCACCACAGCTGTTGGTAGGGTGGCACCTCCTACTAGGGGCAGGAGCGCAGTCTCTGCTTGTTTGGGAGCAGGGCGCTCCGTCGAGGGGCAAGTGTGATGGGTATGCGGGTGCTATCGTTGCTGCAGGGGTCTATTAAGGGTCTCAATCTGAAGAGACGGTTGGGGAAGAAGCAGAAGCAGAACCGTCCCATCCCTCACTGGGTACGTATGAAGACTGACTGCAAGATCAGGTGCGTCTGTCAGTTTTTTGTGTGGGCGTGACAAGGGCTTCATGCGTGTTCTCTAGAGGGAGGGAGTAAGGAGGAGACCACGAGCTTAGTGGATTTTATGCGTGACGCTAACAACGGGCTATTCCTACCAGCAGGTTCTAGTCGGCAGGAGGGGGGCAACATCGCATGCAAGCTGCTCCCCCTTTCTGCTGCAGATATAACAGCAAGAGGCGGCACTGGAGGCGCACGAAGCTCGGCATGTAAGAGGGTCACTTCAGATCTCCCGTCCCCCCGAACTGCTGCCAGTGTGTGTGTTGCCGACGCGGCAGCAGCGGCGGCTTTTAAAAGCGGTTGCCGCCGCAGGAAATACACCAGGGCTTATACATCAGGAGCAGGAACGGTTGGGGTGTCGCGTTAGCGATTGCGCCGCCTTCACGAACCTAAGCTCGTTCTCCACTAAAAATTTGGGACGCATAGTCTGTAGAGCTGTCTGTACACTAAGGCCTTCTTCTAGGAGGGTATATAATGGAGGGAGGATCTGCCATTGGCGGAAACTCCTGCAGTGCAGATGCGTCTAGGCGCTCCTAGACAGTTGAACTTGTATCCAGCAAAAGCGGAGGGTGGCTAGTTACCAGTGTGTTGATGCTGAGCAGTAGGGGCTGTTGCTGGAGGGAGGGGAGAGGGGTTCCTGCAAGGCTGCACATGCCGCTACCCAGCTGCTTTGTCGCGGCAGTTTTACGAGAGGCTAAAACACAGAACAGTGGTGCCCAGCGCATATAAGACGTGCTGTTGCTGTGGAGCGCACTGTTTACACGGCCGCGTGTGTGAAACTTTAGAGCAGGAGCACTACACATACGCAGAAAGGGCGGGTGTTATCTGCATGCGCCTCTGAGCCGATCGCCGCAGAGGCTGGCTGGCCACTCCAGGCACGCTATTAATTTCCGCAGTAGCGAATTGCAAGGATGCTATTACTGCCGGCTTAGGGGAGGCGGGGGGACTTGCAAGGAGGGGTTGTTGCCAACGCTCCCTGTCTGTTGGGTGTGCTTCTCGTTACAAATATATAAATGTATATCGAGGCCCCTTGCAGGCGAAGAGAGAGCAGGGTGGCAGCTACAGCATGAAACGCCACGATTGAATAATGGCGCAACTTCCAGCACACGGGGTGATTACGGCCGATTCGCTCTTGGTAAACTTTTCGTCCAAGACGGACGGCAGCAACTGTGGGAGGGTACAGACACCAGACTAAGGCCGCGAAAGGAAGCCTCGTAACACGCTTCGATGTGCTTGAAAACGCATAAAAGCTAGAGTTTTAGCTAATCAGAAGAAGTATACTGTCATTTATGGCTGCACGAAGGGCTGCAGTTGCTGCCGCCAGCAGCCGTAGGGGTGTAGTAGCGGCAGTGTACCTCACAGTGGTATATAGTCGCAGCAGCGGCAGTTCGAGCAGCAGAGCCTCGCTAGGAAGGCGAATCCTCTTTTGTAGGCCCCTAAATAAAGCTTATTTATCCTTAAATTCGCAATTTGGCTGCAGCACTGCAGCAGCAAGGCGCCATTACTAAGCCTCGTGCTGTTGCACTGCTGCTGGCGCTGCCGGCCATACCAGCAGCAGCAGCGGCTGCCAGACGCTGTTACCATACACCAGCAGCAGCAATAGCCGCAGCTCGTGCTATTTACTAGTTTGTTTCCTCCCCACAGCGGACAGTAGCAGCAGCCTGCAACAGAACCCGCTGCTCCTGCCGCTGCCGCTGCCGTTGTGCTGCGGCTCTTGCGGCTGCTCTAATCCAGCGATCGCATGCGTTATTCCCAGCAGAGATACCAACGACTGCCCGCGGGGAAGCCCCCCGCAGTGGCTTTCGCCAGCAACCGTTGCTTCGGTAGGAGCAGCAGCCACTGCTTCAGAGCATACCGCTTTTCCCTCGCTCCCCCTGCAGCGTGCCTACTACCCACTTTTTGCTGTTGCAGCAGCAGCAGCTGCTGCTGCAACAGTGAGAGCAGCACTCTCCCTCCCTGCATCCGCAGAGGGCACTGCCGTTCAGTAGCAGCTGCAGCGTCAGCTGCAGGGGTGGCTGCAGCTGCATTCAGGCGCAGAAGCCGGCAATGCATGCAGCTCCTTCACCCCCGTGTGACTCTTTCGTTGAAAAAGCAGCACTCGCCTCCACACGAGCATCTGCAGGGGCAAACGCGAGAGAAAGTGAAGCGTCTTTGCTAGCGGATGAGGAATCTTTGCAGCAGCACCTGTTGCTGCTGCAGCCGGCGCTGCACGAACCACACGGGCTCACTCAACTGCCAGCTGCTGCTGCTGCAACAGCTGCAGCAGTCGTAATGCCACTTCGAAAAGCACCCCAAGATAATAGTCCTTCCCCAGCAGCTACAGCAGCTACAGCTTCAGGAGCAGCTACAGCTACAGCTACAGCTACAGCAGCAGCTACAGCAGTGACAGCGAATGCGGACTGCGCTCTCAAAGATAAACTCACGTCATATCCGCGTGCACCAATGGAAGAGACACGGCGATGCAGGTGCTCCGCATCAGCAAAGCGTTCTGACGTTGAACCGCCTGTTGCAATTCACGCTGCTGCTGCCGCTGCTGCTGCTGCTGCTGCAGAGCTTCCTTTTGCAGAAGAGTTCTCTTCTCCTTCGGGAGTGAATTACGAGGCGCACTCCGGCGTAGCTGTACGTACAGCAGCAGCCAGACCACCTGCAAAGGAGTATGCCCCTCATGCCGCACCGCTGTTGCTTTCCCCTGGTTGCAGCGGTCAGCGATGCAGCAGCAGCAGCAGCGTCAAGAATAATGCATACATTGGAAGACGCCGAGCGAGTAGCAGCGGCGGAAATAGCCACCCTTGCAACTCCCCGTTAGATGCGCAGCCTCCGGAGGCGGCGATCGCAGAGGCTGCTGTATGCAAGCAGCGCTCAACAAGAGCTCATGCACCCTCCTCCGCTGCCCAGCAGGCTGCATCAGAAGCAGTCTGTACAGTGGAAATTCAGCGCTTGCGAGCAGACTCAAAAGCACGCAGTGGAGTTTCGGCGTCTGCGAGCTGTCGAGAATGCAGCGCAGGGAGGGGCAGCCTGGCATGCGTGTCTGTAGAGGGTTCCTCCATGGCGATGCCACATGAGCAGCAGGAGCAGCAGAAACAGCAGAAGCGACAAGAGCAGCAGCAGAAGCAACAAGAGCAGAAACAGGAGCAGCATCAGCAAGAGGAGCAACTTCAGAAGACATCCCGCATCAGCACCACACAGCAGCAGCTGCGAGCCATCCTATTGTCTTCTCTTGCTGAGCGGCAGCAGATGCAGCAGCAGCAGCAAAACAGTCGAAATCAGCGGTGGCAAGACTATCGAGTACAGCATCCTCAGCATCAGCAGCAGCAGCAGCAACAGCATCCTCGCCAGCAGCAGCAGCAGCAGCAGCAGCAGCAGCATCCGCGTATTCGCCGTAATAGCGCTGCAAGCAGCAGGTGCAGTGACATATCTTCAGAGCAGCAGCTTTATTCTCAGCAGCGGGCACATGGCTCAGGGGTTAAGGTTCGACAGCAGCAATTTGCATTGCCTGCTGCATCTGACGCAACAGCTGCTGCAGCTTGCCGCTCAGCAGCAGCGAGGAGTTGTCTCATGCCCGCAGAAGCTGAGTCGACACTGCAGCAGCAGCAGCAAGCCTTGCAGCTGCAGCACCTCCATCGTCACATGCACCTGAAGCCTTTGGCGCACTTTGATTTACAGCAGCCGCTGCCGCAGCAGCATCAATTTGTGCTGCAGCATCACGTGCAGCAGGAGCAGCAGAGTCGCTCCTCTGGCAGCAGTAACATGAGCAGTAACAGCAACAGAAGCAGCAGTATACCGCCAATAGTCTCGCCTTTGCAGCATCGATCGGATACGCATTCGGCGGATTCGACGGGTGCAGCACTCGGTCAGCAGCAGCATTCTCAGCAGCAGTATTCGCAGCATCATCCGCATCCTCAGCAGCAGCAGCATCCGCAGCAGCAGCAGCATCCTCAGCAGCAAGAAGAACAGCGTGTGGGAGTTTTGCCATCTGCTGCGACGGCGGCGGCAGCAGCGGCTGGCAGCGCTTTGCCCTGTAGCAGCGCGCACATAAGCCGTCTGTTGTTGCTCTCTGAGCATCTTTTGCAGCAGTTGTTGCAGCAAGTGACGCCGTCGGCAGCTTCCCGCGAGGAGAAGAGGATCCTGTACAACACCCTTGCGCATTTTGTGTCGCACGTGCTCGGACGGGAAGTGTCTCTGCATCTGGCCGGTAGTACAGCGTACGATGTCGACGCGGCTGGGAGCGATCTGGACGTCGTGCTTCTGACTCGGGGGTACTGCGCAGACGCTGTGGGCGTTCTGCAGCACCTCAGGAGCACCATAGAGGAAGTGCAGAAGCAGCTGCTCGCCGCTGCAGCAGCTGCTGCAGCAGAAGGTCGTCAACAGCCTCAGCGAAGCGAGTGGCCGTTGCTGTTGGCGCGCGTTCAGCTGGTGGAAAGTGCTCGCGTACCAATCCTTACGCTGCGAACTCCGGGCGCCTCTGTTGTCTGCGACGTTTCAGTCAACACCAGCAACAGCGTGTGGCACAGTGAGTTCTTCGGATGGCTGCTGCAACAACAACCCCACCTGCGACCTCTCATGCGCCTCCTCAAAGTATGGGCACGCAATCGCCGTTTGCCCACAATGAAGGAAGGTGGCCTTCCCTCCATCGTGTGGATGATACTCGTTGCGTTTCTCTGCAACACGCATCACCCCAATCACCACAGGGTTCATGCGGAGATCCGTGATGACGCGTCTGCCTTGGCAGACGCTTCACCAGGCGCTCTCCGTTCGGCAGCAGACGCAGACAGCGGCAGCAGCAGCAGCAGCAGTTCTTGTGCAGGTGCCTTGGAGCAACAAGAGCAACTCAAGCAGCAACAACAAGAACAACAAAAGCATCAACAGTACCAACAGTACTACTACTACCAGCAGCAGCAGCCTTCGCCGAATCAAGACGAGCCGCTAGGTTTCCCCGATCATCCCTATCCTCAGAATAACCACAGTCCTCCTCCTCATCAGCATAAAAATCATCAGCAGCAGCACGAGCAGCTCGCATTGCAGCACGAAGAGCAGATGCGGCAGCAGCCGCAGCCTGTGGAAGGAGTGCAAGAGGGAAGGGCACAAAGACTGGGGGTCCTTGCAGCACCAACAGCAACAACAGCAGCAGCAACAGCACCAACAGCACCAACAGCAGCACCAACTGCAGCCACTGTAGCCGCTGCACAAGGGCCAAAGACGCTGCTGACTCAGCTTCTAGGCATACCCGAGACAGCCCTCGCTGCGCTTCATCCGCTGCTGCTCTCTTTGGTGCAGTTTTTCAGCTCTCTGAGATCTCGTCGAGGGCTGAGTCAGACGCTTTTCATTGTTGCCAACCCCTCGGCAGCAGCCGCTGCTGCTGCGAGTTTGTCTGCTCTAGAACCGTCTCCAACGGGAGCGCCGCACTCCGCAGCAGCAGCGGCTGCTACGGCTGCAGCCGTGCTGCATCAGCAACTCGTCTCGGGTGCTCCTAAGAACGTCGAGGAAACGGCGACTAAGATTCTCTCGGCATACGGCCATGGGGGTGTCTGGGAGCTGCTTCTCTCCGTCTTCGATTCTCCGAGAGCAGCAGCCTTTCCGCCAAACGGCGGCTCCGTCGTCTCAGCAGCAGCAGTGCCTGCAGCAGCAGGTCCAGGGGCAGCCGCAGCTGTAGAGACGGCGAAGGCGTTTCTCCAAAGACAGCAGCAGCAGCAGCAGGCACCCGTGGGCGGGGGAGCTGCCACGGCAGCCTTGCAGCAGCTGCTCATCGCATCGACCGCAGACACCTCCTCAGCACTGCCGCACACACCTGCCGTCGGAGGGGTGGCTGGAGTTGGCGCAGGAACCGTAGGAAGCACTCCTCCCCCTCCAGTGGCTGCCGCTCTGCAGGCATACGGCTGCCCGCCAGGTGTATCCCCAGCAGCCGCGGCAGCTGCTGCTGCTGCCGCTGCTGGCATTGCGGGAGGCGACCCCACCATCGATATGGCAGCACGCGTGAGCAGTGGAACGTGGCTTGTCTACAGGTATGAGTTGTGTAGGGGTCACTTCCTGCTCGACACGTATATCAAGGCTCTCTTTAGGTTTTCGTTGCTGCAGCAGCTGCTTCAGTCGCAGTGCTTGAACCAGCAGCTGCAGCTGCGGCTGCAGCAGCAGCTGCAGCTGCTGCAGGAGAAACGCGGTCGAGGCAGCAGCTCTGCTGTGGGGCCGTTGTCTCAAGTTCCCGGAGCAGCAGCAGCTGCTGCTGCTGCTGCCGCAGCTGCTGCTTCCGCCGCCGCTGCAGCAGCTGCCTCCGCAGCTGCCAGCAAACTGCCTGCTCTTCCGATGGCGCCTAACGAGCTGCAGCACGAACTTCAAAGCATCCGCAGGGATCTGCTCCTGGGAGTTGCCGCTATTTTCGAGGAGATCACCGATGATCGCTATCTGCTGCCCGTCTTGCAACAACCCCCGCAGCCTCCCCCCCCCTTCCAGCAGCAGCAGCAGCAGCAGCAGCAGCAGCAGCACGAGAGCGGGCCCTTTTCGCCTTTAGCCTCGGCAGCAGCACTGCCGTCTCACCGCGATGCACAGCAGTACACTGGTGCGGGAAGAACTGGAGGATCGCTGCGGGAGTCTAGCTGCAGCAGGCTGCCGTGCTCTCTGGACGCAGTAGCAGCAGCAGGAGCAGCAGCAGCAGGAGTTGCCTCAGGCAGCGGTGGGCTACCCCTGGAGCTGGAATATGTAATTCCAACTGGCAAAGAGGGAAGCAGTTGGCTAGTTGCTGCCATTGAGGGTCACTTGTTGTTGCTGCGTTCGCATCGCTGCTGCCAGGAGGGCGGTTGGTGGTCTACAGAGTTTCTCTCTCGCAGAGATGTGCGGACGACTGTGCATGCGGATCTCTTTCTGTTGCTGCCTCTCACTTCCGTGTATGGGGCTTTGAAGCACCCTTGCACGTGCAGTAGGAGCAACAGCAGCAACAGCAGCAACAGCAGCAACAGCAGCAACAGCAGCAACGGCAGTAGCCGAGACGTCGCGGAGGAAGACGTGTCTCTGGTTGCATTAGAAATCAAGGAGGATGCGAACTCGCAGCAGCAGCAGCAGCAGTGCCAGTGCAGCTGTCCAGCGCATAGGCATCTGGCAGCGCTGCTGCAGGAGCAGGATGCAGAATTGACGAGCAGCAGGTGCTCGGCAGCAGCGGCAGCTGCAGCGGACGATAACTGTACGCAGCTGTTCGACTGCATGCCGCGGGGTGCTGCTTTGCTTCTGCCGGTGGCATTGCGTGAAACTGCCAATGTCTTGTTCTGCCCTTGCAACTTCGTGACGAGACTTGCCGTTTTAAGACCTAGACGGCAGCAGCTGCAGCATCTCCAGCACATGCAGCAGCAGTGTCTGGAACCGCTGCTCCCCCTTCTCCCCCCCACGCTCGCTGCAGACTGGCGGAGAGACAGCGCGAACGGGGGCCCCTTTTTGCTGCCTTCTGCGGAGGTTTCACGCGTGAGGACGCTCTCTCGGATCGCCGCCACTGCCCCCTGGTGGCACGTGCGGGCGCAGCAGTTGCTTCAGCAGCCTCAGTATCATCAGCTGCTGCAGCAGCACGTACAGCCGAGGCTGTCCATACAGCCCGTGGTGAGGCGCTGCCGATACTGTTCCTCCAACGGCATTGCCGCCGCAGGCGAACTCGTGCTGCGGCTAGAAAGACTGGTTCTCGAGACGGCGTGCAGCTGCTGCTGCTGCAGCAGCTGCCCCTCGCCTCCCCCCCCGACGCCAACGGATCCTGCGGCGGCTGCGCTCGCTGCTGTCGCGCTCGAGGCAGCACGCCACAAGCCACTTTTGACTGCAGAAGAAAGGCAGAAGGCCCTTGCTGCAGTTGCTGCACTGACAGCTGCAGATGAGCGGTGTGAGGCCAAGTTCGCCGCTGCAACAACTGCAGCACAGGGAGCCAGCTGCATGGGCGTGCTGCTGCAGCAGCAACACCTCGCTGCGCAGCAGCAACAGCTCCTTGCGCAGCAGCAAGCCGCAGCAGCAGCAGCAAGGCTGCAAGTGTCAGACCTGTCTCGAGCTGCAGGCACCCCGCAAGGCATGCTGTCTATTCTCTCCTCCTTGGCTGCCCAACAGCAACTCTCGTCGCTCACGCCGCAACAGCTACTGGTGCCCCCTTTCTTGCAGCAGGTGCAGCAGATGCAGCAGCAGCTGCTGCAGATGCAGCAGCGCCTTGTCGGACAGCAGCAGCAGCTGCAACAGCAGCAACAGCAGCAGCAACAACCCCAGCAGCAGCACATCCTCGTGCAGCAGCAACAACGATGCCCGCAGCAACTTCTCCTGTACACCCGAACGCAGCAACAACTGCAGCAACAGCAGGAAGAGCAGCACAGGATTACTGGACACTGCCAAGAGGTACAGCATTTGCATGCTACTACAGTTCAAAATGAGCAATCACAGCAGCAGCAACAGCAGCAGCAACAGCAGCAGCAACAGCAGCAGCAGCAACAGCAGTACCTCCCGTTGCGATCTTGGGCGGCAGAAAATAACAACAGCGACAGCAGCTCTGGTGGAGAAGATGCAGTGGAGTCTGCTAGCCGTGGTAGTGGCAAGCCTCATGTTGTAGCGTCTTGCATGGAGACTCTTCCGGTGACTCCGGATCTGCAGCAGCAGCAGCAAAAGCAACAACACGTGCTGCTGCTGCAGGAAGAAGACTTCCTGGAAAGGGAGCAGCCAGCCGCAGAAGGTCGTAGCAATCGTTCGGCTTGCAGCAGCAGTAGGCACAGCACCTCCAGTAGCAGGTGTTTGTCTCCCTGTGCCTCACAGCAGCAGCAGCAGTCACAACAGCAGCAGCAGCAGTCACAGCAGCAGCAGCAGTCACAGCAGCAGCAGCAGTCACAGCAGCAGCAGCAGTCACAGCAGCAGCAGCAGTCACAACAGCAGCAGCAGTCACAACAGCAGCAGCAATCACCGCATGCGCCAGCTGCTATTGAGCCAGCGACAACGCGATGGTGCGACAGTGTGGAGGAGAGTGTTGATGATTACTTTCATTGCTCCTCTCCTCAGCAGACAGAGCAGCCGGTAGCTGCCGCTGTCGCGTGCACGTCGACAAGCATGGGACCGTTGCATAGCAGCAAAAACAGCAACACTGGCAGTACAAGCGGCAGCAGCGCGAGGAGCAGCGCAGTATTGGGGGGTTGTGATTTGCGGGCATCAGATGGTCGCAACAGCAACCGTAAAGACACAGCGTCAGCCTTGCATGCCTCAAGTGAATTAGCAGCTTCAGCAGATCCTCTGCCTGTCTCTCCATCGGTAGCGACAGCAGCAGCAGCGATAGCAGCAGCCTCTACTCCAAGAGCCACTACTCCAACAGCCACTACTCCAACAGCCACTACTCCAACAGCCACTACTCCAACAGCCACTACTCCAACAGCCACTACTCCAACAGCTCCAGGGGAAGAGGACGCTTCTGTCGCGGGAGTTCGCCGTCGACAGTTGCGCGACAGGATACCCCTCAAACAAAGGGCAGAAAAGCAGCTGTATGTACCGGGAGCTTTGCGGAGGCAGCGGCAGGAGTTGCTGCAGGGTCCAGCAGCAGCGGCAGCTTCCCCTGCAGGTGAGCAGGCACCTACAACAGCGTCAGCAGCTGCTTCAGGAGGCCAGTGCAGCGACAGCAACAGCACCCCTTTGTCGTCAGTTGCTGCATCTGCACCAGCCGCACCTGCCCTTATCACCAATGAAGAGGTTCGCGAGGCAGCAGCTGCTCGGAGGCGAGCTGGGGCTGCTGCCTCGCCAGACCTTACCGGGAGCAGCGCGCGAGACAAGGTGCGGCTGCAACAGCGGCACTGGCTTGTCGAGCAGGTTCAGTGGCGTATGGTAAATCGCTTTGCGGCTTCTCCCCGAGCAGCAGCAGAAACAGGAGAAATAGCAGAAATAGCAGAAACAGCAGCACTGACCTCGCCTCCAGTGTCTCCTACTATGACGGGGGCATCGACTCCTACCGTTGCCTCGAGTATCGGAGGCGCAAGATCAAGTCTCTCCGCGGGAGCAGCAGCAACGACCTCTGGGAGGAGGAGAGCCTTGAGACGAGACAACCGTGGAAGCGTGAGCAGTAGAGACAGCAGCTTTACTCCCGCGACTCTGAGCAGCTGCACGGGGAGAAGAGGCAGTCCTCCTGCTTCTCCCTTCGCGTCTGCAGCACTTCAGGATGAAGGTGGAGCAGCAGCAGCTGCCAGAACGACACCAGTGGCAGGAAGCCCCTTAGAGCGCCATCCTCTGAGTGCAACAAGCGAAGAAAGCAGCAGATGGAGCTGTAGCAGTCCGTACAGCAACAGCCATGGCGACTGCGGGGGTAGCAGCAGCAGAAGCGGCATCAATCACTTTTCCAGCGGCAGCAAGGGCAGCCGTGTGTATTGCAGCAGCACAAATAAGGGCCAGGCACGACTGCTACACGTTGCATTGAACGGCATGCGGCGTTGCGACAGAAATATGCTGAGTCCAACAACAGCAATGCAGCAGGAGCAGCAGCAGCAGCAGCAGCAACAGCAGCAGCTCCTGCGCTCAGAGCAGCAGGGCACCCAGCCGGAGGCATCACCGCAGAAAGCTGCCGCCGACTTGGGCTTGTAGAATTCTGTGCGGGTGAAATATCTATCTACCTCCTCCTCAAGACAGCGGCAGCAGCGCTAGCTCGGAAGTGGTACCACTTGCGTCGTTTTGCCCGTCTAATCTCGTGCAAGGGCAAGAACCGCCTTTGGCTGTGGCGAAGTACTCTACTCTGCTGTTGCACATATGGGTTGCTGCACACGGTCGCCTGTCTGCTTTGTTCCTGTCTCTCTTCCTTTTTGCCGATGCGGCAACCTTAGCCGCGGCAGTGAGTCGCATTCCGTTTGTATGCAGCAACGCTGTGCTGCTCCTGCTGCGCGAAACGCACGCGAGGCGACGCTGTTGCAGCGCTGCAACAGCCATGGCCCTCTTGGCACTGAGTGCAGTACAATAACGAGCTCTGCTTGGAGTGCCGAAGGGCTGTATCAATCTCTTCAGATGCGAAGCGAGTTCAAAAAATTGGTAGCAGAGAAGCGCTTGCTGTATAGATCGCGCGTGTAGAGTTGCAATAGGCGCGTGTGTTTGTGCGTGCTGCTAGAGCTGCCACCGGTGTGAGTGCGTAGAAAATCGCTCGCTTAGGAGCAGGCTGATAACTTTCGTGATAGCAGCAGCGGGCAGTGAGACGGCGGAGAAGACACCCCTAAAGGACTGCTATCTGGAAACAAAATGACGACCTCCCCAACGGTGCAGCAGCCAGCAGGAGTCGTATCCTGCCTGCTAGCCGCGTTTGGAAACGGGGGAGGGAAGAGGGGAGAGCATGTTGCTTTCAGGAAGAAAAGCGTGTCAGATCGCTTTTATCGTAACAGCACAAGAGGGGCATGAAGAAGGCGTAGGCATCTGTGGCCAAATCGGTGCACAGCGGCTACTTTTTCCTAAAAACATTATGTTGTGCGCATACGCGTAAGGCACAAAAAAGATGAAGGCGGCTTCCACGCGGACTGCCGAAGCTGTCGCGATGTAGCTGCAGTCGTGTATTTTGCAGAAGAAAGGAAATGCTCTGGCAGGAGTTTTCCTACGGGCGCTGTTTGAACAGAGCGGTGCATGCACATATATATCTAGAGAGACAGTGAGTGTGAGAGAGAAAGCGAGAGAGAGATAGAGAGAGAGAGGAATAAGGAGGAGGGAAGTGGAGTGCATCAAATTAAGAGCAAACAAAAGCAGCAAGACTGTGCTGAAAGAGGTGTGCGCAGCTGCCCCCCTCTCCCTTCTTTGCCCGAAGCGTTGTTGCAACGCGCCGGCAACACGAAGTGCCGCGGTGTAAATAATTCGTGCTGATCGCTGCTGACATCCAATATGCGAGCTTTGGAAGAGTGGTTATTACGAAGAAGACGGCGCCTCTTCATTCCCCACAGAAATCTGCAGAAGAGAGTGCACGACTGCGGCAGACACGGCACAGCGCAGCAGAGCTGCTAGAGAGGAAACTTTGACGGTAAAGCAAGCCGTGAAATCGTCTGTTTCTGCCTTGCATGCAGACGCCTCCATCTCCCCTCCTTCCCATGCGGCTTGACACAGGCAACTGGCTTCCAGCGCAAAATCATCAAACGCTGTGACGAAAGGGCGAACTCAACGAGAAGCTGATGGAGGAGGCGAGAGACAGTCCACCAAGGAAAGGCACCCACAGAGAGAGACAGAGAGACAGGCTGTGTGTATGAATGTAGGCACTGCTCTACAGAGCGATAATATGGACAGCTCCTCTTTGAGGTGCTAGCACGCAGATCAGCAATGCATAAAATACGCGTAAAAGGCAGTGCAAGGGCATTTAGCTCTGCCGTATACGGCAGGCATGGCGGCAAACAAGCAAGTGCGCTTGTGGCTTATCACACATCAAAGAGGCACTGAGAGCAAGGAAAAATAAAGAACGCCATTGCGTTTAAGAGAGCCTCACAGAAGACCTCCCCAAAAGGCCGTTCCGGTTACAAAGATGCGCTGCCTTGACGCTGGCTGGATGTGTGCTCCAGATAGGAGCACATCTTATGTTCGGAGTAGAAAAATATATGCAAGGCCAAAAAATGTGAATACAAAAGTACAGATATATGTAGGTGTACAGATATACACATATATGTATACGTACATGTACATCTAATTTATGCAGACCTATGTGTCTACATGCATACGTCTACACACGCATGCAAATGCAAGATGATATATGCATATGCATGGACAGATCAAATCATCTATCTACACATAAACACACGATCCCTCTTGAAAGAATAGATTCCCTGTGCGTGCGTGAAAAGGCGGACTAAAAACGATTCAGACGTAAATCATCGACGCACAGCCGACAGAGCGACACACAGCAAGCCTCTAGAAATCGCTGTATCGCGGCGAAAGTGCAGGCCTTGTGCATGCACCACCAGCAAATGTATTTTTAAATCAGCCTCTTAAGACCAGCCGCAGCAACGCGTGAGCTGATTCTACCGCTACATACGCTGTTTTACTTGCGGGCAAGGCTTACCTTGCCTGCAAATAGGGCATCTGTTGGTTTGCAGCCGCATGATGCCTGCACACTGCAAGCGACGCATGCATGCCACCACACGCAGAGGCCGTACCAGATTGCCACGTATGTGCTTTTAGACGGAGTATATACTGTTCTTTACACACAGCAGGCAGACTTACTCCGCTGCAGAGACACATGTGACGGCAGGGCAGCACCGCAGTGGTGCGTTCTTCGGCGAGGCAGATCACACATTCCCTGCAGCGCGCGCAAGCCGACAAACAGCAAACACTCTCCAGGTTCTGTGAGCAGTATCATGCGCTTCCAAAAGAAAAGGATGCGGCAGAAGCAGAAGGCTGAGGAGCTGCACAGCTGCTGCACATACAGCTAAATCCACGTCCCCAACAAAGGCACACGCGCTTGCGCGAAAGAGAGAAACACAGAGAGAGAAACACAGAGAGAGAGAGAGAAACACAGAGAGAGAGAGAGAAACACAGAGAGAGAGAGAGAGAAACACACACATAGAAAGAGAGAGAAACACAGAGAGAGAGAGAGAGAGAAACACAGAGAGAAAGAGAGAAACACAGAGAGAGAGAGAGAAACACAGAGAGAAAGAGAGAAACACAGAGAGAGAGAGAGAAACACAGAGAGAAAGAGAGAAACACAGAGAGAAACAGAGAAACACAGAGAGAGAGAGAGAAACACAGAGAGAGAGAGAGAAACACAGAGAGAGAGAGAGAGAGAAACACAGAGAGAGAGAGAGAAACACACACACACAGAGAGAGAGAGAGAAACACACACAGAAAAAGAGAGAGAAACACAGAGAGAGAGAGAGAGAAACACACACAGAAAAAGAGAGAGAAACACAGAGAGAGAGAGAGAGAAACACACACATAGAAAGAGAGAGAAACACAGAGAGAGAGAGAGAAACACAGAGAAAGAGAGAAACACAGAGAGAGAGAGAGAAACACACACAGAGAAAGAGAGAGAAACACACACAGAGAAAGAGAGAGAAACACAGAGAGAGAGAGAAACACACAGAGAGAGAGAGAGAAACACACACAGAAAAAGAGAGAGAAACACAGAGAGAGAAAGAGAGAGAAAAAAAGCAGAGAGAGAGAGTGTTGAGACTCACCTCCCGGAGAGGTGATCATCGCTGGAGCTGCAGTGTGGGTTTGCAGCGTCTGCTGCAGATACCCCTGCGTCGCTCTTGACGTTGAAGTCAGTAGAGCTGCTCTCAGGCCTCCTACAAACTCCCGAACCTCCGTCAATGCCAAAGATCTCCTGAAAACACCAGCCACAGATCACCAGGGTGTCTATTAGGCCATACGTTTACAGCAGCACCCGTAACGCTAGCAACAGCCGCAAAAGCACACATGCATGCGCATTGCGTGGCTGTTGAGGCTGCAGCGTGTTGAGCATCTACTGACTAGCGAGGCGGCCGATATATTACACATACACACAGACACAGACACAGACACACACACACACACAGAGAGAGAGAGACACACACAGAGACACATAGACACACAGAGAGAGAGAGACACACACACGAAGACACACACAGACACACACAGAGACACACAGACATAGACACACAGACACAGACACACACACACACAGACACACACACCGCGCAGCCAGCACCCTATCTCAGAGCGAAAGGCAATCCGCGCATAAGAAAGTGGATTTTGCGGATAGGCGGGATCTGTTTATTCAGCTAGTGAGCAGTTGGTGCTGAGTGTTTCTGGCTGCCTGCATGTTCGCGAAGGGTGATTTTTGAGCGCTACTTTATGCCGAGAAGTTGCAAAAGTAGCAGCAGAGGCCTGCCGTGTTGCTACTTGCCCAGCTTCGCTTTTGCCCCTCGCCAAGGAGCAGCAGCCACGCAGCAGGCTAGCAGTACCTGAACCTCGAAGGAGCGCGATCCAAGTTCAACTTTCTGCTTGAGAACACACAGCCTCCACACAGCGGGTGCTGAGTCTTGCCGTGCTGCTGCTGCTGCTGCAGCTGCAGCCGTTCCGGAGCCAAGCGAGCTAAGTTCAGGAGATCCAGGGCAGTTATCCTCGCTGCAGCGCCTCTCGGGGGAATTTTGCGGAACAAAAGCTGCAAACGTCAGCTGCTGGCGCACCCCCTCCTGAGCTGCTGCTCCTGCAGCCGTCTCGGCCGTGTGTTCAGCCGAGACAGCCGCCTCCTCAGGGGTGGTAAGCGCTTGCTGCAGCATTGCAAAAACACGATCGCGTGGAGAAAAGCGGCGCAACTAGCAGCAGGGCAGGCAGGCCCCCTGCTGCCTTTTGTAGGACTAGACGACATACAGCAGCGCTCGGAAATCATTCTTCGAGAACGTGCAACCAGCCAGCAACACTCAGCATCACCCGCTCACCAGCTGAATAAGCAGGTCACATGTGTCAGGAGAATCCTCTTTAGGCGAACTACTTTTCGCTTGAAGGGCTGCAAGGCAGTCTGCAGCCAGCGGAGATTCTGAACAGCCCGTACGCAACAAACGCCAAACGCCACACACACACACAATGCAACAAGAGCACCAGCAAAAGCAACAAGAGCACCAGCAACAAGAGCAGCAGCAACAAGAGCAACAAGAGCAGCAGCAACAAAAGCAAAAGCACCAGCAAGAGCAAGAAGAGCAGCAGCAACAAGAGCACCAGCAGCAACAAGAGCACCAGCAGCAAGAGCAGAAAAACCCTCGACACAGTGGCACACATGAATTCCGTTTTATGGTGCTAGCCAGACGAAGGACGTCATCTAAGCAGCAGTGTCATTCAACATAGAAATGTAATTTTAGAGCGGTTGTAGTTCGCTGTCAGCAGCAGGAGCAACAGCGCAAAAACACGGCTCTCCCTCAGATTCGTCGCTGTCACAGATGCTGACCTTCTGGAGTTGCCTCAAACTGCTGTTGCAACCCTACCCCGAAACGTCTAGGCCGAGAGGCGAAGAGGCAAGGAGGCGCACTGCTGGAGAGAAAAAGATCACAAGTTCAATGCCACACGAACGCGTTTACGCCGAAGGGGAGACGTAGGGTCGGCAGGAGCAGCAACAGCGCACATACATTACATGCATGCACATACGCAGATACAGACGCACATATACATCCACATACACGCATAAACACACGCATAAACACACGCATAAACACACGCATAAATACACGCATAAACACACACATAAACACACACATACACATCCAGGCGCGGCAAGACACGCGAGCGAAAACAACTCAACCCTGAACTAGCAGCCACACCAACAAGAATATCTGCAGAAAAACAGCGTAACCGTAGACAGCGAGGGAAACGCCTACACGTCTTGGATATTGGCGAGGCCTGTTGGGAAAAAGAAGAGGCGAACTTCAAGAGGTGAAAGGCTATCGAAACGGAAAGAGACGGAAACTCTGTTATCAACCTGAGGCATCAATGCACTTCCAGACTGGATCTTTAAGATCCTCCATATTTGAGCTAGCAGGCAGCAGCAGCAAAAGATCGTGTCGTCAGGGCGGGCAGGCACTGAAAGGCGGATATGCGTAGAAACATTGTCGCGATGTACACTCCCTACGCTCTCCACATGCTATCCATCTTATGCTCAATCCTGTGCATGCATGTGTGCTGAATATGTGGAAGTGCACTTTTAGTTCCTAGAACTTTTAGGTTTCTAGGGACCGACAAGGTGACGCTGCTCAGACACAAATAGGAATATATATAAATATATATAAATATATATATAAATATAAATATATATGTATATATATGTGTATATATATGTGTATATATATGTGTATATATATGTATCCATAGATTTCTAGTAGTCCAGGGACATAAAATGTGCTACCACATATACGGCACGCGTGCAATTGCAGTGGGTAGATATTAGAGCATAGAGAGCACATGCAAAGCGTATGGAGTGCATGTATATAATATATATATAATATATATATGTATATGTATATTGTGGGGGCCTGCATGGGGTAGAGACTTAAGAGGGGGTTGTGAGGCTATGCCAGAGGGCGTCAGGAAATGAGGAGGGAAAGTTTATGAGAGAGAGACGGACGACTTTGCGTTCACAAGGGTAGCACTGGCAGGGCAGCTTGAGGAAAGGCGCCAAGGCAAGCCATCGTCAATGCGGATGTGGGGGAGGAAAGGGGAGGATACGGGGTAAGGGAGGGGAGGAGAAGGGGGGATGAGGAAGGGGAGGGGGAGATCCTTTGATGAGGGGCAGGGGTGACAGCGCGAATCCAGCATGAAGCGGCTTACAAGGGTGGCCTTCAATGAAGTTTTGGCGATGTTGATGGGATTACGAACGATGAAAGTCTTCTGCACAGAGAGACGCGGCACTGGAGGCGGAGGTGCTTGCGATGAAGGTCCCTGTAGAATTCCCTACGAATAAACGCAGAAAGACGCATGCGAGACACGGTAGGGGGGGCAGTGCCACCTCCTGGAGAGGCTGCTCTTGCGTAGGAAGTGGCAATCGCGGAAGCGGGAAAAGACTCCTGGCGAGCTCTGCATGGCGCTCCGAAGCCTCCACACGTACTGTCAGGCCTCCCTGGGGGAGGGAGACGACTTGCTGCTGAGAATTCGCAACCCACACAAAAGCAGCACCCTTTTCTCGAAACTTGTGCCGGCTGCAGAGGCCACCCCGAGCAGCTGCAGCTGCAGCCGCAGCTGCGGGCCGTGTGCATCGGGTAGGTGCGCCCTGCTGGTGTGTACGTACACACGCAGCCACTGCACGCGGGCACGGCACGGTGCGCAGGGAAGTCGCGGCAAGGAAGGGGTGCACAGAGACAGGTGCATGCAGGGAAATCGTAAAGGGAAGCTTCCAGCGTACAGGCCTAACTGAGAAAGAACCCTGGCGGCTGCCACGCCGCTCGCTGCTCTGCGACAGTCCCATGAGGGGTGATCGAGCAAAGTGAGCAGGCGATGCATGCGCGAGGGGATGCCGAAAGCACTGCTGCAGTTTCCGCCGCTGCACCACTGCGTCCAACGCTGCTGTTGACGCGTGTTTCGCAGCAGATGCAGGCTTGACTGGGCTGTATGTCCAGCGCTTCTGTTGCTGCTGCCTTGAGGGATCAAAAGTTCCCTCCAGGGCAGCCGACCGCTGTGGCTGCTTCTGCCCCCGCTGCTCGAGCGAGGTGTCTCTGCGGCTGCTGGATCAGAGAGCGTGCATGCACGGAAAGAAACAAGCAAAGGTGCTCGATATCTCGCCCAAGTAAAGGGCGCTTGCGAGGGGGGGCCCCTGATGACGAGCGCCGCAGCCGACCCGCGAGTACCCTCCAAGAGTGGGCCCCTGCTGCCTGCCTCCCCTCTGCGTCGCAGAGAGGAGCCTAAATATGTCTTCTCTTCTACTTGCTGCGGCCGCTGCTGCAGAATGTAAACTTGGACTCCTCGAGAAAGTAGGAAAAACCGTGAATACAACTCCTTCAGCTTCCGCCCTCCTCCCCCCAGCCCCTGCCCACCCGCCTGCCCCCCGGATGACGCCACAGCAAATTTCCGAGTGCTTGCTGCAGTGCTGCACGCGTTTCCCTCCTTATTCTCGCTCTCTTCCGCATCGGAACAGAACTTCCCAGCTTTCGCTGGCCTCCCTACACGCGCCGTGGTAGCCGTGTGTTGTGCTAGGCCGTTTTGTGCTGCAGCAGCTGCCGCACACATCTCACGTTCGTGTGTTTTTTCAGACACGTAGCGAACACGCTTTCTGATCGTGCGACCCTCCCTCCCACGATAAATCCCCGAGCGAAAGCGGCTTTCACCGCTTTTTTGCTCGCCCTGTCGGCTGCTGCCTGCCAACCGGTGCTAAAATGATTCCCCAGACCCCAACACCCTTACAGTTAACCGACGAGGAACTCGCAGCTATCATCAATGGCATTCGCCCCCACTTGCTGCCACAAATCGGGAAGCAGCTGCAGCAGCAGCTTCAGCAGAACGAGCAGAACCAACAGCAGCCAGATCAGCAGTCGCAGGATCAGCAGCAGAAAAGGCTGCAGGAAGGCGCAGTGATATCATTTCAGCAACACCTGCATCACGGCTGCCAACAGCAACAACATCAGCAAAGCCGATGAAAAGACTGCTCCGCTGGTATCGTGCTGTGCCGTAGGACACCTCCGCCCCGCGCACCTTGTATCCTATTGAGCGTACGTTGTAGGTCGCTGATGTACAGTATATTGGACGGTAGCAGGAAGCCGAAAAGTTGCAAGAAAAAGGCACTCGGAGCCAGAGGGCCGATCTTCGACTGGGCATGTAGTAAGTGCCCCTAAGTGCCTGGGCAACAGAGCTACACCGGCGTGCCTGATTCTCCTATTAGACGAAGACAAAGGCTCCTTTGCTTTCTAGGGCTCCCCTCCCCTCGGGTTCCTCGTAGCTGATTTTTTTCTGCACTCAGTTTTAACGTGTAGGCTGAGACTGAAAGCGAGACACCGGAGCAGCACACCGGCCGCTGCAGTCGTGGCATGCGCACCTGGAGAGTAGCGAGGGATAGGAAGGTCTCGGAAACAGGGTTGGTGGCAGAACAGGAGTTCATTTTAGCGGTTCTAGCAGTGAGCGAGGCACCGCCCCCGCGTTGGGCAGGCGCAATGCCGATGTAGCCAAGTTGGTAACGGGGGAAGCGCTTTTAAAGCCGCGTTGCGCAGTTGTAAGCGCCCCTGCCCCCACTGCCGTGTTCTGGCGTCCTCCTATGATGGCCAGCCTTTCATGCAGTTGCTCAAAAATTATTAATTTCCAAGAATCTCCAGCATGCGTGCTAGGAACAAGCCTCTGGCTGCTCACCCCGCGCACGCCCGGAGAAACGCGCGTATGTGCTCGCACCGTGCAAAGCTCTAGGAAATGAAAGTTTTCCAGTTTACCAAGGCCGGAGTGAGGAGTGCGGCCAGGAGGCAGACGCAGTGGCAGCCGAGAACCAGCGACGAGGCTCATAGCCTAAGACGCATTTACACCGCAAATCCGTCACCCCCGAGAAAGGCCGTGACTTCCACGGCCAGTGGCAAGACAGCGGAGCTTGACGTAATTGCGGCGTTGCTGGAAGCTTCCTTCCGGCCTTCAACCGAGCTCCTTACACATGTCAAATGACGCCAAGAATACACGAAAAGAATCGTTGAGCGGGGGAGATCGGCCTTTTTTTCCGACAACAGCGCTGCTGCCGCAGTGACGCGCACGAGGGCCCGAACAGTTGGCCTCAAGAGAGCTGATCTGGTGCTAAAGCTCCGCATATATATATGGTGATGCGTTTTGTTCCGGGATGTCAGAGTACAGCCAACTGATTACCCGTGCATGCGCCTCAACTCTCCTGCCATCCCCCGGTGTCTACTCACCACTCGACAGCCCGCGAGATCTCGGGGATCCGCCACGACTACCCCGTTTAGTTCTACTACTGGTGGCTCAACCAACGACGAAAACTACGCCGAAGGGCAACGGCACTCTACTGCGCAAGTCAGAAAGGACAAACACCAAGCCGACGACGGGGCTCGAACCCGCGACCACGAGGTTAAGAGCCTCGCGCTCTACCGACTGAGCTACATCGGCAGGTGGGCTGCCTGAAGTGCTACGGGAAGAGGAGGCGGAATCTTGACCAAAAAGATGTGTGCACCTCTTGTCTGCTCAAATTGCATTAGATAAATCGGAGGCAAGATGCCCACAGTTCGTCGAAGTAACAAGTGCTGCCTCAACCCTTTCTGTTGAGGGCCCGGGGTATGCGGGCACACCTCAACAGACACTAATTAGAATCAATCCCATGCGATCGGCCACAAAGGTACCGAGGATGGGTAAGGCCTGCAACACCTCCGCCGTGTGAAACTGCCACAAGCTGCAATAAAAGCTCTAGCTTGCCTGTGCGACCCGTTCGCTCTTGAATAGCGTACCCTATTATCAGAGTCACGGCACATTTACGACACAACAAAAACATTTAAATCGATTCTTTAGAGCACAAAAGAGGAGGCTACTCTACACGTGCAAGCCAATCGCTTGGTCTCGTGGCCTTCAGCTTAGAGTTCGCGGAGCCTCCTAGCTCACTCGTCAGACTTGCGCATGGTGAACATGATCATTTTATTGTTCTGGGCAGCTGCATTTGTTTTTGTTCGCTTCCATCTACAGAACAGCTACTGGGACACTGTCTCTGAAGCCCGTTCGGCTCTTGGCGCTGGTCGCCACAGCAGGCGAAGGCGCGCATTCAAAGGGTTATGGCCTCTAGCATTGAGGCAAAACAAAGCCTTTCAGTTCAAGCACCCTAAATGAGTACAAGCAGCAAGACCAACTGGGGCGCACGAAGTGTGGTTCGCCTGGAATGCAAGGCTACAAATGATACTTTTGCTCTCGATACTTTAAATTCAACTCATGGTGCAGATGTATGTGCCCGTGTTTACCACTCCTCCTCCCCTTTGCCATACTACAAGAAGGTTGTGTAGAGTTGAACGACGCACTACGGAACAAACGCCATATCAAGTTTCTAATGGGAAGAATGTGGCAGCCCCCATGGCTAGTGCACACATATTAGCTCTCAAACACACCACACCCCCTATAATGCATCCCCCTGCAAAGTAAGAGCGTGATAGGATTCACATACTACAAAACTCCATGGCCAATACGGAATTCGGGCTTCCGTGCAAAGAAGGCCTTTGCCTCCTACTGCTGATGACGCAAATGCTGCTGCTGCTTCATATTTTAAGGCATACCAATACAAAATGAGAAGCGGGCAGCTTCACTTCGAAGATGGATAATCTGTTGCTTCATATTCTGTTCGTATGTCCCTCTCGTTTGCATCCCTCCTCTTAAACCTGCCTCACTTTGATGTTGAAGTCACGAACATCATATCCCCCCTTAGAGAGTTCCAGGATATGCGTCATGTCGCTGTAATAGTCTCCCGATCGGATCCACTCGCTGCTTCCTTCTTGTGGCTCCCATCCGACGTGAACAACGGCAGAAACTGACAAGACTGCTTTTTCCTTTGCTGCCCTCACTTCCTGTGGAAGGACCAGTTCATATGTCAGGGGCACCCCCTCTACCGCTGAATGAGTGTAAAAGGCCAGCCGCTCTTTTGGAGCGTCCATTAGCGTTATATCACTCAGTTCTACCCTAAAGTGCGAGTTATCGGGGAGGGGGGCATGGCCAGGAGGAAGTAGCACAGTGCCTGTGATCACCGTGTTTTCTGCGGTAGCAGGAAGAGCACATAAGGAAGGGAGAAGGAAGAGGCCCAGTAACATGCAAACGGAGCGAAAACCAATGAAGGAAGGCTCAAAAGCCATCTTCAAGGAAGGAAATCACGGACCCAGCAGGGATGGCGAAGCACAATTGCCAAGGGGGAGAGACAAGAGGTGGCAGATGAGCAGATAATAGAGCGAAAGAAGAGCTCGAGTATTCTGAGATAACGTGAGGACAGAATAACAGTCAAAGGAATCAATCGGTAAAGCCCGTGAAGGAATAATATAGAGCCTCCCAGCTCGTCTGCTGCTGCCGCTTGGATGCGCCACGACAGACGGGTTCGTATATGCATGTGAGCTTGAGGGCTGGTTCTATGCGTTTCGAGGTCGCATATCTCTGCATCTTTGGATTTTAATGAATGGGTCCAAGAATGTGCCCGTAAGCCCTTGTTTGCACATGCTAAAAGCTGATAGTAACACGTGAATGGAGCGTCAAGTCAAGGGTGTGTTCATAGAGTAAGCCCGTACTAGCGACGAGGAGTATCCTGCTTTTTACGGCAAGTGGAAGAATGCCACAGATGGAAAGATAGCAGTGGTAGGTAAGTTTCATGACCCATCAACCACTTAACAACGAAAACAAACTGGTAATACGGGAAGGGAAGGCAAGGGCGTTAGCCCTCTAGGTCCTTGTTATGTCTCCCAGTGGCAACCCTGATAAATAGCTCTCCCTCAGCCGAAGCTCCGGCAGCGCGGCCTCCCGCGGTAGGGGCGGCAGCTAAGGGGCTGCCCGTAAAGTAGCAGTTCGTAGTTTTTGCTAATTGTTCTGCTTGTTTTGTTCTTTGATTTGTTGCCTCATAGCTGAGAATGGTGACTACTCGGCGGCAAACGCGGGAGGAAGAGAGCCAACAGACCGCAGCGGCCCCCTCCCCACCCTCAACGAAGGAGAGAAAGACCAGAGGAAAGCAGTGAGTCAACCATTCTAGACTGGTTTTACGGTATGATCTCATATGTTCTTCAAATAGAGACGCGCTCTACCCCCCCTCTGGCCAAGGTGTGTGCCGCTACTGCCGCTGGTACTGCTGAGTCAAGGGTCTCGCTCTGATTCGAAGCCGGGCACTGCATTGTCTTTGCTTTCCCGCTGCCTCTTGTTACCGTATAACGGCCTGCAGGTTCTATTGCCTCTGCAGAATGACTGGAGCTCTGGGTGTGTGGGCGAGTCGGGGCAAAATCGACCTCTTCGCCGTTATCTGCGCGCCTCTGTTTTTGCACGTGTTAAAGTCTGCCCAGCCTTACACTCTTCGCGCTGGCTGCCCAATAACTCGTGTGTGTGCTCTGCTCAGGGATGCAAAGCCAGAGTGCTGCTGCTGCCTGCGGTGCCCGTGTTTCCTCTCGTGCTTCCTCGTGCTCCTTGTAGCGGCAGCGGCGGCGTGCTTTCTTCTCCCTCAGCACACCGTGGAACCAGTTTTGAACCATATAAAGTCTTTAGTAGACAGGATGATGGGCTTGGCAAATTCTGGGGTCAAGTCAGTGGAGCTTTAGGGTCCCTTTTCGCTAACTCATAGGGGCGCCTTTTAAGCCCGCTGGCGACTGGAACGAGGTGTCTGCCAACAAGCGGTGTGAGGAAGGCCCTTCAATAAGGGAGGTACCCGTCCGTATCGTTGGCTAGCAATCGATTTGACTCAAAGGACAAGCTCTGGCTCGCACTCGCGTCCATGCATTGCACTGGGTTTCGGATTTAAGGAATATCGCCGAAACTGCTTTCCTTGAGCTTTTGGCTAAGCGTCCTCCCTTTGTACATGCGCGTGTTCTTTCGTGCAGTTTGTATATGGCACACATTGTTGAGGGCGAATGGTTCTACAGTATAGGCCTACTCAACCGAGAATCACCATGTAGACAACACCGATAGCAAGCGCGATCACGCTACCGCCATTCCACACATAGTAGCACCCACGCAGAAGAGCCTTCCATCCGTAGTCTAAGGTAGTCAACCAGGGGAGCGTGTGAAGACTCCCCAAGCCCCAGCAGTTCGTATGCAAAGGACTAGTTTGCGAGCTCGAGCGATGACCGTCGCCGAGAATGGCAAGCAAATGCACTTCCTTCAATTGAAGTCCATTTGAATCCTAAGGCCTGGCTGCGCTTTTTTCCCTCCCAGCATGCAGTATAGTCGCACATGCAATGAGGAGGAGCGCAAGGCCTGCCTGTAGTCGAGTTGCGTGGATGGTTCCCCTTCCCTCCCTTTGCTTCTTTTACGATCTAGAGGCCACAGGCGCAACTCTATGCACAGCATGGAAGAAGGCGCTTGAGGGCCTAGTGCTCAAGTGGATTTTCTTGGGCCAGGCGCTCCCCATGCAACTGCACCCGGTGTCTTTGCTAGGTGTAAAGTTGCAAGGGGGGGAGTGGGCCCTGTAGAGGCGACAAATACAAGGAGATACGCGAGCTGATAAGGCACCAGAGGATTGCAGCGTTAATGGTCTAAAGGGTGATGGCACCTCCACCCCTGCGTGCGTTTCGTAAGAAAACGTCTTTGGCGAGGGTTTGCGCCTGGAAGCCGGGGTCACCTCGAGGGACGCAGCCGATGGCTGCCATGTTTTTAGCGGGTAGCTCCTTGCCGTTTTCCAGGCGCAAGACCTTTGTGCCATCGAGAAATGCCACTTCTACCTTCAGAGGTGCCTCTTCCGCCCCGGGAAGCAGACGGCACACTCCGTGTTGCTCTGCAGCAGCCTTGAAGAACTGGCACCAACCATCGTAGTACTTTGCCTTGTCTTGCTGCAAGCAGCGAAGAAAGCACAGAAGGGCACAAACCTTGTTTGAACCTTACACATGAGGGGTGGGATTCGAGAAGAAAGCAGCTTTCTTTCAACGCCTCTCCTCCACATCGCCCTTCATCCAATCCCTGGGTGCCCCACCCCACCCCACCCGTGGCATACTCGAGACTCTATTAATTCCTCTTGTGCGTTCTCGAGCCCCTTTGCCTTTTTTCACAACCCCTGCTTACCATCAAGTTCCTCACGATCTCAGACTTGCCACCCTTGTCTTTATACTTGAATTCAGCCACCGCCTTCTTCGGCTCGAAGAAGGCCATTGCCCCTTCCACTGGAGTTGCACTCCAAACTATGAACAAAGTACCGTTACTGGCGCCGTCAAACGTCAAATAAGCTCCTTTTGTAACCGGCTCCTTTGGTGACGGCGGCGCGCCTGGCCCAGCCGCGCCTGCCGCCCCTTGTCCTGTAGCCGGTGTGTTGCAGCCAGCGGTCTGAGGTTGCGCTGATGAACCCTTCCTTGAGGATCCCCCCACCTTCTTCTTTAACGAATCCAATAGACCCATGGTGGCACCTGGCGGTACACGCCGTGCTGCGCAAGAGATCCACATCCTACGCAGGGACGAAAATGGCCTCGCTAGTTGCACTGAAAGAACCTCAAAGCCTAGAATGCAACGCACGCTATTTGCTCCTTTCCCAACGGTAAGCACCCATACCCTATGCATCCCCTTCGCCCCAATACTGGCCATGCAATAGCTGGGGGCACACTGCGCCATCACAGGAGGCTATCAGCAACTTCGCGAACCAGTGGTTTCCACAAGGTCTCGAGGATATTTTCACCTTCAGAGACCATGTGATGGCTGAAAATAAGGCTACAGAAGCACCAAACCACCATTGTTGGGGGCTTCACTTACTGTATGCGTGAGACTAATCGAGATACCACGATGATGGTCGGGCGGCCAGCAGAGAGCTAGGACACCCGTACAGCGCAAGAACGGGAAGGCGAAGAGAGCAGTTTACTACTGTACTGTCGCACAAACACCGGAACACGGTGCTTGCGAGTTCGTGTAAGATGTACAGAGGCTGCAGCCAAGGCTACAGAAGGCGAACTTTCAGCAGCACGCCCTCGTCGAGGTTTCATACACGCCGTGACACCGACAGTCGTACAGTGCCGCAGGAATCCTCACAGAGAACGAAAAATCAAATAATGAACAGGAAAGCCTCTGAGGGGCAAAGTAATCATGAGTATTAGGAAAAGGAGGGAAAAGAAGGACGGCGGTGCCCGTGCAGCGCTCTGAACAGACCACACCCAATGGTGGACCGATGCACTACGAACCATCAATATGGCATTATCAGTCGGTAGACTCCTTCGGTGCTGCTATTCCTGTGTTATCTAATCAATACAGGGAAAAGATTCTTTCATCATTACAGAATAAATGTGTTTGCCTCTATAGTTTTCGCTTGCACCTGCAACTCTCTGCTAGCCCACTTGAAGGGGATCTATTGAATGTCGCCACTTCGGTAGTTTTTACCCCCAATCATATGGCAAATACTCTCGCCTCTGCTGTACAAAAGGCTTTCAGCAGGAAGCAGGAAGCGATTCTGTACGGAGATGGTTTGTCTTTTGCCCGCAAGTTGTTCGCACTCATGAGAAAGGAGTGAGAAACAATTCTTTGTCTGCTCATGGCAAAGCTTCATGAATCTCTGTGACTCCTAATATTGCCGTTCTATTAGGCACACTAGTACTTAGTGTATAGACATCTGCAAGGGACCACACCGCGTGGTTGTTTGAGCAAATCCGTGTGTATTGTGGGGCCAAAGAAAGGGCATAGAAGAAGCATGCAGTGATTCTTCATGCACTTTTTAGGCAGCAGGCAACATGAAAGCGATAGACAAGCTCTAATGACACAAGCTTTCAGAATTTTTCCCCTGGTGCGCGCAGGCAGGTGTCACAGCGGCGCGATACACGTTGAGGCACTTGCTTCCATACAGTTGAAATTTGTAATAAATTGGTAGAGTTGGCATTTGGGGCGTTTTTTTTCTCGTACTATCGTAGAGTACCGGTCGCTAAGGAAAGGAGGGGGGGCGGAGAGGAGAGGGCTCTTGGAAAACAGCAAGTTTCTATTACAAGTTCGTACTGTGTCTGGAGTAGAGTGGCTTCCAACGGAGACCACAGGTGGAACGTGACACCGTCCGTCAGAGGGAACGGAAAGCACAAAACTCCTGCTGCCGCTTCTCCCGGTGTGGCAGGTGCTATAGCGTGGGGAGAAGCGCCAAGTTTGTCCTACTGAGTTGTGGATGTCCGCTACGAACTCCCTAGCACCCCACGGTCACTGTGCATCCGATGGGATTCCCCCTATGTATCCCCACAACTCGCTTGCTGTCCCTTTATGTGAACGTATCTGGAGGCAGCGGGAGTGGAGGCGCACTCTAACGATGTTCCGCGGCTGAATCGAATATCTAGAAGAGCAACAAGACCTTGAGCAGTCGGCCACTACGCCACAGTGGGTATCTCTTAAAAAGCAGCTAGCTAGAAGCAAAGAACCAAATAACTACAACGCAAGAGCAGCTTGTTAAAACCAGATCTCAATAAGCCTGTAGAAACATGTAGGCCTTTAGGGGAGGGGGAGCTTGGCACTGCTTGCTGAAAAAGCACGATGTCCATTGTTTTAATGGATCGCCCATTTGTCCTTGCCGCTGATACATTTAAGGCATGCAAAAAGCGCGTTTAGAATGGGACCTACGGTGCTCTGGTCAGTCGTCGGATAGGAGGGGCCCTGTGTGGATTTGGTGCTGGAGTTTGTGTGCCTCCTCCTGCTTCTCTTCTGCCTGCCGCTGTCTTTGCTGCTCGTGCAAAGCAACGAGCTTCTGAGCATGGCTCATGCGCGTCAGCTGAGCCTTAAATATTAGACGAGAGTGAGATACTAATGCAGTGAAGCTAACGCGGCCTTCAGCATAGAGTGCGCACAGCTCGGACAGGGGGGCCTCGGGCCAGGCTCCCACGACTGAATCACACAGAAAGAAGAGATCAAAGAGCACCCGAGCTAGAGAATACATAACAGGCACATCCCAAAAGGGCAGTGGTATGGCGATACAGTCGTGAGCGGCCGTGGCAGAACTGACTGGCGCAGCCGCGGCAAGGTGGGGATTGCGTGGGCAGAGAGGCGGAAGCAGAGGCTTGGCGAGAATCAAGTGTAGACACAAACGAGAGAAAGACAGCATAGAGTCTAGAGAAAGAGTAAGCGTCGATCCACGTACAAGGGCTAGTGCAAATTCCAGATCAAGGTATATACAGTCAGAAACAAGAAAGGCGGGGGCGTAAGGGGGTGATGCGTTCTTGGGATCGTGAATGCACTGGATATCTGCCTTTGACACCGCTATAAGGTCTGAAGCAGCTCCCGAGAGGCCCTTGTGAGATCCAGTTGGTTCTTTGAACACAGCAGTAAGCAGTCTTGTGACCACCACCCCCCCAAAAAAAAATTTTATTAGTTCCACTGGCGGCTAACCTTGGCAGCTCTGGTCCTCCAGGGAGACATCCAGGTGGCACTCAAGCTGCGCCAGCTCCTTGTAAAGGCCCAAAAAGCAAATTCGTGTGAAGGGCTTGCCTGACAAAACAGAATAAAGAATCCACGTGCCTTTTCCTAGGCTTCGCACTGCCTCGATAACGTTGCTGCCCTATGGCGATCTAAGTCACTGCCAGTAGGGGTGTCCCTTCATAGCCTTACCCCGTTGCTGGTGAATGCGGATTCCATGCGTAAATTTATACGCGTCAACACGGGAGCGCCACTCCTTGCGGGCGTGGAGGTCTTGGCGAGACACTACCATGAACTCTGAGGCAGCACACACACACACAGAGAGAGAGGCCCTTTGAGCTGGCTTCCCTACGGCTGCGGAAAATATCTATCAAGCCGCAGCCATGGGACTGGCAGCCTGGTGCAAAGGCAGGCCTTACAATATACGGCGACAAAGGAAGTATCTAGAAAGTTCAAGCGAGTGGAGGCGGCAGGAAAAGGCAGGGAAGAAAAGGGGCGGAGATCGAGAAATTCAGACAGAGATATATACGCAGATCATTAGACCGCCAAACGGGTTAAAAGGAGCAGCAGTTCGACAGACGGGAAGGGAGAATGAGGTGAAGACGCATGAAAGCTAGGAAACTTCAAGAAATGTGGTATGAAACCTTGTGAACTTGTTTGCGTGTATCTCCATCTAAAAATATACAGACATATATATTTGGAGGTCGCAGAGTTAGCGACTGGCAGTCAGTCATATGTTCAAGAAGGCTCCAGATCAAGTGATTTCGAGACGGAATGAGCGGCTTGAAGAGGCCCAGCCAGAGGCTTATGTGCGTACAAGCCTCCTCACACGCGTATAAATGCATCTACAGACGCCAGAGGGGGGGGTTGAGCCGAAAGGCGAAAGAACAAGCGCGTGCAGAGAGGAGGCAGAGACACGGAAATCGTTGACAAGGAGCCGCAGCGGTGCAATGCAGATATCCAGATAGGAGCAAGAGGAAGACAGGCAAGCAAAAAGGCTGCGAGGGGTGTACAGGAGAGACAGACCCTTCCGAGTGGCATCAAGTTTGCGTTTGGCAGCCTGTAACCTCAGTTCCACCTTTTCCTTTGCAGCGGCAACGCGTGCCAATTCAGAATCCACAGCCTGCGACGGCAAAGTTCAAGCCGCAGGCACGCCTTCAGCACGTCAACCCTTAGCCAGATGCCGTCTACATGGACATGAAGGCAAAGCCTCAGGCGCTAAATCAGGCTGTACAGCATGGGAGCCAATGCTGGAGCCTGCACGGTGGGAAGATGCACTATGGATGCGTTTCTCTCGAGCTGCAGATTGTATGCCATGGACGTGGGCAGCTTGCCTTATCCTCCTCCAGAAGCGCTTCCACTTCCTGAAGGTTTTGTTCCGTCTCTGCAAGGTCCAAAACGCCAATAGAGCAGCTGCATGTGTAGCAGCAGTGCATACACTCAGAACCCCGATTCTACAGCGGGATCCGTGAACCCTTACTTGTATTCAGTTCCTTCACCTCGGCTTGGAGCCTGGCGCTCTCTGTGGCGAGCTCTTCTAGCTCAGCTGATGAAAACAACAGGGACAGACACACCTGTACGTTCATCCTGGGTTTCTAACTAGAGCTTGAATGCTAGAGCAGTGGGCTCTCTCATGTGCGCATACCCATTTGTTGATCGATGAATTTGGCAAACTCCTCGGCTCTTTGTCTGGTACCGCGCGACGCCCGCTCACAGTCGGCTTCGAGACGCTTCAGCATAGCCCCCCCTACAGTGGTGATGCTGTTGCCGCCGATGTGTGCAGCTGCGCCGTCCGCAGCAGTGGAGGCTGCTGCTGTAGCACAACAGGAGGTTCCTCCATTGATGTGGCAAGCGCTGCCGACGGGAGGGGCGGCAGCACAGCCTTTAGGCGACAGACAAGACACACCATAAGCTGCAGAAGAACGCGCCTTGCGCTGATGCAGTTGCGTCGGGTGGCTCGTTTGCTGCGGGAGGGGAATGCCTCGAGACGGCACTGAAGTGTACATGGTCGCGCCTGCCTGTGTCAATTGGCGGAGGGGCCTCAAGCGCAGGGGGCAGGCGAAGAAAAGAGGGGAGTGAGAGCAGTCGCCGAGGAGTTACGAGCCTGCTTTCTTGAACCCTTGCTACAAATCTCAATTTTCTCTATTTTCGTCTCTTGACCACCCCCGAAGGGGGTTGGATTAGGCAGGGCCTAGTCCAGGCCCCGTACAAGCTTTGAGGGGTTCCAGAGAGCAGGAATCACCGCAAGTTACTTGCGATTTGTTTGGCTTGCCTAAGGCGCCAGAAAATCGAGAAGAGCGCACCGAGAGGCCTGGCTAAAGGGAACCTAGTGAGGGGGCTTTCCTGGTAGGAACGATGAATGGAGCTCGGGAGAACCCTCGCCATAGGCAATGACGCCGCTTCTCCCTTTTTGTTCTGGTAATACCTGATTTGAAGCACTTTTTCTCCTGCATTTGTTGCTTGAAAATGTGCGACGCAACTGATCGAGGAAGGTCAGCAACTGGGGGCGGGGGCCCCTGACAGGGGCCCTTATGCGGGTGGTACTTGGTGGGGTTCCTGCTTGCAATTCTTTTGCAGATGCCTCAGGCCTTCTGGCCTGTGCATTGTGCGCTCCTTGCAGCTCAGAGAAACAGAGGGGGACCATCATTTGAGGTTGCGGCCCGATGAATCCCCAGCGGCGACAGCTGCCAACATCGGGAAGCAGGGTACAGAGTAGCAGCGACCCAGTAGAGCAGAGAGCAACAGTGAGGAGCTGGGATCATAGAGCAGAGGCATAGTAATGCATGGGAAGACAGAGCATAAACCGTGGCGCGCACAAATGTGAGGGCGTAGTTTGGGCCCTAAAGCTGATGGCCGCTGGCTCTATTCATTCGTCAAAGCAAAACTTGCCCTAGGCCCTCGCTGCACGATGAAAAATAGTATTCCCATCACGCCAAAGATGCGAAGGGCCAGACACAGCTATATGGGGGCTCTAGCGTTTGTGGCTGACTGCTACTATTGTGGGTGCCTCTACAGTGCACATGCGTTGGCGCCATTCCCCACATGGTCTCTCTGTTGCACAAACTCCCTTCTCCCACCCCCACGAGCTTTTGCTTATCAAAATAGAGACACCTCTTTAAACTTGAGGGCCCGGGTGATGCCCTGTGGGGGCGGCGTATCGCGTGCCAGCTGCGCGCGATACAAGGCCCAAGGAAACGAGAGGTGTGCTCGTCTCACTGTTGTGTGGTACTGGCGGTAATTGCGGAGCTTGCTGGGGACCTTTCTACTACACTCGCGCTTCTCCATGGATTCATGGAAGGCTAGGCACCCCGTCGGTCTCCATCTCCCTAGAGTTGGGGCCAATACATGCCAGTACAGTAGCCGAATGCTTCTACTGCTTCTACATTGTGGATACTTCTGAGCGTAGTGGTACCCACGACTGCAAGTTACACCCGCGGCCCTACATTACTCCGTCCCTCATGAGTATACGGCAACTTCTGAGAAGTCCAGAAGCACTGCCCATACCTTTTCTCAGATCGCGCTGAGAACCCCCATGAATATACGCAGGTAGTGTGCCTCTTGGTACACTTGTTTTACATCAGCGTCACTACACTTTCAAAGAGGTGCAAGCGTGTCTGACCACATGGCCACGCCAGTGCAGGGGCAGGCTGCTCCTATCTTGCTGCTGGTGCATGTGTGGTTTTTGTTGGAGCCGCTACTCGAGTCCTTGTGCCTCACCGCCAGTGACAGCAGGATCGGCCGCACTGCCCTTAGAGTTTATTTTGTATCTTTGGGGAACGAACGACCCTCTCTCTGGGGTTGGGCAGCAACTAGTCAAGGAATGCAGCTACCTGCTGTACTAGGGCTCTCCCTCCCTCTCGTCCCCCTATTGGAGAGGCCACCTAATCCCCAGAGAATGGCATGGGAGGACACCACTGCTGCTGCTCTGGACGAGTGTCGCGTTGTTGGACGCGTGTGGGGCAGTACCCCGCCACGACACCCAAGGGCGGCAGACTCACCACGTCTGCTCCTGTGCTATCGGCTTCGACGAGCTCAGGAGCAGTGACCCGTAAAAAAACAGACGGCGTCGCATGCATTGCATTCTGCTGTTGTTGCTGCTGATACAATCTTCGGAAAGGGTGGTAGCCTTGATCAAGCATTTGTCCCCGGACGTGCTGCACTTGTTGTTGCTGCACTTGCGGCTGTTGTACAGGTGAACTCTCGTGAATCCAGGGCTGCTGCGCATGCTGCAATGGCTGCCGTTCTAGCTGCCGCTCCTGCAGTCTACCTCTTGTCGGTGGCAGCAAGCTGCTCTGCTGCAGTGCTTCCTGGAAGCCTGCCCTGAGGTCATCGATACCCCACACTGAGCCGTCTGCCAGCACAAGACCAATTAGGAGATGAGGAGAACCTGCTGCTGCTGCTGCTGCTGCTGCCCTCTCCACTTGCAACATATTTGTGGGGCCAGAAGCACCTCGAACTCTTTCAGGTGGCCTCTCCAGAATGTTGCCAAGAGCTTGCACATTTTGAGGAGGGCCTATAGGGTCAGCCGCTCCTCTGTGTCGCGACAAGAGAGACCATGGATCCCCTCCTCCGCCTACATGCTGCCTTGAAAAACGTCGAAATTCCTCTATCAGGGAGAGCCTTGAGGCTACTGCTGCCTCGCTTTGATGCCGTTCCGTGTTTCGCTGAGGGTCTCTCCAAAACGAATTCTCGTTCAAGTCCGCTTTCCCTTCTACCACGGAGGCAGTTGCTGCTTGGCTCACGTCTGGAAGAATCCGCAGGGCCGCAGAAGTCCACTTTTGCGTAATCTCGAGGCTCTTAGGCATCAGACTTTCTTCTTCAGGTTGTGGTACCCCAGTGGGGAGGCCCTTCCACCTCCATAGGGCCTCCCAATCGTGCAGATGCTGAACAGGTTGTTGCTGTTGCTGCCGCTTGAGGAAAGCTGCTGCTGCTGTAGTGTTCCGTGATGTATGCAGCTCATAAGAGGCTCCTGAAACAGTGGCAGGGGGAACAATGCAGGAGCGAGGGAACTGGCAAGGTGCGAGGCAGCATGTTGCGCCTCTGAGTTGCAGGTCCAGCGTCAACAGCAGCAGCGTGAACACGAATGCGAAATGCCCAGTAAATCATTACTTTACCTGTTTCATGCGGATACTGTAAGTCTGGATCTTGACGAATTTCCGCTTGTGGGGAACCGTCTGCAAGTAGTGGGGATGTTCGTGCCTGGACATACAGAGCTGCGGGAACGCCTGGCGTCTGTTCTTCACCTGCGGCACCTACCAGGCTATTTATGGCCCCCGAAAAAAGCATAAATATGACTGGAAATCCTGGCTGCCGAAGCAAATGCAGGAATAGTATTTGGAGGAGAGAACCTCCCCCAACGAGTGACCTCCGCATGATTGCCGAGTATGGCAGCTGCACTACGCTGACAACATACTTGTTCCCTACTTCCTGGAATGCAAGTAATTCTACGAACTGCTGAGTGGATCGCCTCAAGAGCAGGCATAATTCGTGGGTTGTCCATCCATGATTTTATGCGCACCGCAACCTCCTGAAAACTTGGCTGCCCCGAGCACGAACGGTGTACCTGTACTGGCTCATAGTATTAATACTCATGAAGACAGGCTTTGCTGCCTACCTGTCATAGAAATAAAGTGAACAAAGCGCCCGTTTTTTGCAGAAGGACAGTAAAGGGACGCGCTGTTGCGTGTCGGTGATGGGTAGCGGCGGATCCCATTGGGTTGAAGCGAGCTTACTGGAAGCTGCTAGATCTTGCAGCAAATCATATATTGGTATTATTGGCCTAGATAGCTTTAAGCCAACTGCCGTGCGAATGACAGGCTGTTTTCCCAGCGAAGCGGCACACGGCATGGGTAGCCTTCTGCTCACATGTAAGTCCTTTTCTTTTATTGAAACCACATAGAGCATAGGCCATCCGATATATAAACAGCTTGTGCTTAACAAAAGAAGGATGGGGCAATAAGGGCTGCTTCTAGTCTTGGAATGAGGGGAAAACTCGTCTTGCGGTGCAGCGCCCTCGTGGAAGAGGGGGTCTCCATGCCTGCAGACGGATGAAAGCCAGTTTCTCCCTGCTAGAAATAAAAAATCTTCTGGAGCGATTTAATCTATAGAGCTTATTTTGAGGACTAGTCACTGAAGTCTGACACCCCTCAAGCAGTTTGCAAAACGAGGTGTGGCAAGCAGAAGGATGCTAGTGGGCAGCAGACCTCTGCCAACCTAAATCGTAGATCCTCACCAAATATTAGATCCCCTACGACATGCTTCACGCATCAAATGCGTAAACGTACCAAATTAAGGGTCTCATGCACAAGGTTCATCATGTGTTTCGGCTAGGATTGTGAGGCAGGCGTGTCGTTTTTGCAACTCAAGTATCACTCCCAGAGCGCGGGTGCACTCTTGACCCCCTCTAAGTGTTGTTCTGGTTAATCATGCGCTTACTACCTGCATGCGGTATCTTACTAGACGCTTTATAAAGCATTCTTTCTAAAGGGCTCCATGATTTTCCTCCGGGAAGGGATTTCCTTAGTGACTACGCCTGGATCCCACGGCTGGCCATATGCTCTTTCATATCTTTCCCAAAGACATTTAGGCTGCCCGAAGCATACTAAAGCAATAATTTTTTATGTATAGGTCAAGTCTATTGACCTCTTGGGAGGAGCGGCTGATTTTGATATAGTCCCAGCAGTTTTGTTGCGGCACACAACATGGGACGACCTGTCGAAAGTCCTCCATGTAAATCCATGCTGCTCGCTGGCATATGTGGAGGGCTCTTCTTTTTACTGTATGGTGTGTGCTGGATGAATCGCCTTCTACCAAGCTAATTGGTGCAGCTGTTAAGGAGAGAGAAGCAACGGAGAAAGACCTGGGGTTTCCTTCCACCTTATATGCGTTTGAAAGGCTCATAGAAGGCTTGTTGCAGAAAACTAAGGCATCCGAAATTCATACCGGTGGGTAATGCTGGTACCTCATACAGTCCAGAATCCTTTTGCGTGCCTAAACGGCATTCCCAGCGAGACCCCCTGAGAGAATCTCATGAGCCCCAGACTCTAGACGGCTGTGTATCAGAGGGTATGCCATTCACCATCCATGGCATTGGCCTCGCCTGCCACTTTTAAGCTTGAAGAGGATGATCTTTCGGCAGATGAGCGGCTCGACCTGCTGGGGGACGCCGGCGAATGTTGGAATACTTTGGCATCCATATAATCTTTGCGGTTGGAGATGGCAAGTTCATGTTTTTGCAAAGTTTAGCTTGAGGGGAAGTTGCACCAACACGTGGACTACTTAGGTATCCAAGAGGTAATTCGCTTGCATAAAAGATGCTCCGCACGGGTGCCCCCCAATGGCTCCAAGATCTGGGCCCCTGCGTGTGAGTGCTTTGCTGCTAGACAAGCGTGTTTGTAGGGATCCGCTTGCTACCATTAATACAATCCTGTTCGACTTGCGACCCAGCCTTTTTCTCTCTTAAGCCGTTTTATGTAGTGAACTCAATGTGTGTACAGTGAAAATGGGAGAGGAAGGGGACAATTTTGCAAGTCTTTGCTCTGAGGATTTGATCCGTGCGTTACTGTACATGACGCCACTCCAAGCTCGTCCAAGAAGCCTAACGGGCGGCTATGCGCGAAATTGCGCTGTTAAAATTCGGGTCTCTCGCTCGTGACGCCCAAATCTTAGGTGCTGATGCTTATTAATAGAAAGCTCAGCTTTATCCGTGGGTCTCCTTTGTTTGGGTATTCCCAACGCCTCCCCCACATAGCCATCAAGTATCCTTGGCTGGCTAAAAAGGCTCTCCTGAAGAGGGAGTTGCTCATACTGCATGGACTTTCCACTGAAAGAGGTCGCTCTCGGCCCTCACCCTTCCTTCTGGACATCTCAACGAGCTGTCGAAAAAATTTACGAAGCAATTCTTGACGGCATCCTTTATGGAGTCCCTGCTTTCCTCACCGTCACTGTCAACATGAGAAGACCCCTTCTATCTGTGCTCTGGACCCTCGGAGCTCCCCAGTGAACCAGAGGACGAACACTCTAATTATTTTGTGTGACTTGGCACATACATTTGAGAACACAGATGCACCTATGGACTAACACACCGACAACAGAACTTCTGTGCTCAAGTGCGTGGTGCAGGGGAATGGACCTTCAGACAATGACTTTTGGATGTTATCTCAATCTAGTTATGCAACAGGGGGCCCTGAACGACCCCTGCTGCCTACCGATGCACTAAAGTGTGCATAAATTATTTTTGGTATCTCTGCGCTTCGAAGGCTTTTCGAAAAACCAGACAGAGGGCTGCATTCAAAATTCAGGACATGACGCTGTTTTGTAGATTCATTACTGTGCAGTTTCGTCTAAAATTTTGTGCACAGCCACATAATAACCCAGCTCAGCGACGCCTGTGCGTAGAGGGAGAGACGCTCCAACTGAACAGTGCTACGAAGAGAGCAGGAGAAGGGGTGGCAAGAAATGTTGTCAGGCACAAGACTGCAACCCCAGGTTTAACCAGACAAAACGTAAGTCACAGAGGTGATTATGTAGTGGAGATCGCAAACGTTGGACTGGAGGACACAAGTGCAGCGTCACTGAAGAACCAGCCAAGAAGAGGCAAATAAATATCTTGACCGACTCCTCTGCTGCTAATAGCACTAGATCACTAATTGGTGGATGCACAGTCTGATCGACAGGCTGATCAACCTCAAGTCCTGCGTCTAACAGAGCGAATCCTGACCAATTGCGTTACAAATATGTATATAATGAACGGATGTGGCACTTTATTTCGAGGTATACGTGTGAGCTGCCATGCACTGTCTAGCAGTCATTTAAGCGGATACTCCTAGTGAAAAATATTGCTTTTCAAGCTTAGAGGAAATGCAGCATCCTCGAGCTCAAGCGCGCCGAACTCTACTTATCCGAGTGAGAAGAGTTCAAATTATCCCTTACGCTGAACCCGAAGGTCCTCACCTAGCCATAATATCTGGACCACCCACTTCACGGGACCCTATACAGGAAGCGCCACCTTTAGCTGCTTCTTTACACAGAATCAAAGCGAAGATTTAGTTGCGGAAGGTGCTACCCTCACATGAGCTTAGAAAAAGGTTGCCATTATTACTGCTGTGTGTCACCACAAAGGGGAAACGCCCGCCGCTCCCTTGTTCCAGAGCCTGCTGCTGAGATTCCACATGCCCCAAAACGGCCAGTCGTTCGGCCGGTGCCTACAAGGTGCCCACAACATTTTGGCAAGCCTTTCATACGCGCAACAACGTGGGTGTAAGCATCCTTTGTGACTATTAGGAGGCAGCAAATAACAGCAGTAGTATTCGCCATTTGTTGCTTGCTGTGAAGTATGGCAACGGAATATGCGTGTCCGTGCCCTAACATCCCTCAAGATAGTTTATTAGGCTGTTGTTTCAGGGAAACCTAGACTACGTGCTGGTCTCACCCACACAAATGTAACTCTTGGCCTCGGACTCTCCGCTGGGGAGGCCAACCAAGGATATGGACAGAAATGTAGATCGTGTGACCTAATGCATGTTTACACTCCCAGGATTATTCAAAGTGAGGATGCTGGTGGCTTGGAGCTTGCTGTCACTGGGACGTGATCTATCATCTTTTGAATTTTCTAGATGCGCGAAACGACCGCGATTTAAGCCAAACCACAGAAACACCTCAGCACATGGAAGCATCCAGCTTCTACGCATAAGCTTTGCGAACAAAAATTGGAGTAAAGAAAGCCTCACTGATTTTTTACTAGCGAAAACAAATCACAGCACGCCGATAACCGTGTGAGTGGAATATCTGCACACTGTTAGTATACCGCTCCACTCGATGCTTCCGTAGAGAGGGGATAAATTCCAGACTTACCAAAAACTTAGTAGAAAGCTGTTGAATGTGGTGCTCACTGTGCCTCTTTATAAATACCTTTCTAGGAGTGTTATAATTAATTGCAACGCATGATTCGATGCGACTGTGAGTGGTTGTGAATACCGTGGGAAATCAGGTTTGCCCACAACAGTTGTCTGGTTTTGACCAAGTTTATTAGTGGATTGACGATATGGATTCCTTTGAGAACAGCCTGGAAAGAGACCTCTGTGGCGATGGAGGAAAGGGCCGGCCTGCAAGCTGATGGGACAGCAGTCCACAAACAGTTGGAAGACAGGCGTGATTCGGCAGCCGTTAGATGCTGGTGGATGCGTCTATGGGGTTGCGCCAGCCATAAAAGTATGATGGCCGTAAGGATGGGCAAACACTCGACAAATTCATCGACCAATCAGGTATATGCTTCGCTTTGTTCTCCCCGAAGAAGAAAAACAAGTGCTCTTAAAGTCATGTCTATTGGATGCAGAAGCATTTTTATGGTGGCTCTATTCGCGAAGAGGAAAGCACCTACCTGCAGGGAGTACTAAAGTTAGAACCCTTTTATTGGTTTAAGTAGAGATCAACGCAACAGCAAGATTCAAAAGGATTGAGATCGCTGGAGCAGGGCATCTATCGATAGACCATTATATCAAG